TATAAATTTTATTTAAATTAAAATTAAATTTTAAAATATTATAATATTATATAATATTTAACAAAATTAATTCAAATTTAATTCAAACCATTACGATCGTATCATTAATTAACTCTCGATCGGGGAACATAAGTCCAAAACCTCAAAGTTGCACCCACCACACATCAAGACGAGCCCTAAGTGCGATCTCTGTTAACCAGTTCTCGAGTACCAAAACTAAAATGGGTCAAAACCAATTCCACACGTGTCATTGCACATGCCATTCTAGATAGCAGCAGGTCGTAGTTAGGGATGGTAATCCAATCCATCTTTATGAGTTCAATCCAATCTGATCTTATGAGATCGATTTTTTTTTTTTTAATTCGAGTTTCAAGTCGAATCGGATAAGTTATAAAATAATCGAGATCGGATCAGGTTCAGGTTTTAAGTAAATTCAATTCGATTCGACTCGATATTATATAAAAAATTATTTTTTAATTAATTATTTAATTTTTTATTTATATATATATTTATATAATAATATTTTTAAATATTTATATTTTAAAAAATATTTTATTAATTTTAGGTCGAATCGGGTGAGGTCGGGTTCGGGTATGAAAAAACAAAAAAAATTTCAAATAGGATCGAGTTCAAGTTTATTAACGCATAAAGTCAGGTCGGGTTCGGGGCGAGCAAAACCCGCCCCGAACCCTACCCGATGCCAACCTTATTCGTAGTGTTAAGGCTATGATAGTTTTGGATTATACGGATAATAGAATCATAATGATATTATCTAATATTATTTTAATAATATGCGTATAAATTACCTTATCAAAATAATATTAAAAATAAATAGTTTATAGATTAGACATATAATTAAGGTATTTTAATCAGTATTCAAGACTCTGACACTCTCTTGGTTTAACGTCAAATTAGTAACCTGATTTTTATGAAGATATATCTTTCACTATAGTAGTTTATTTCAGTACATCTTGGTACAATAACTTTTATTTGACTGAGAGAGTAGATCAATGATTTGTTTAACAATTTTATAAGGTATTTTGGTGTAGAGTATCCACAATAACTGTAACAATTATAGAGCATACTTAATTTGTATCACTATAAACTATGAAATAGATAAAAGAAATACGAATTTGAAATTATAACTATAGAAGGAGGAAGGAATTACCAAAAGAGAAGAAAGTTTTTAACCAAACATATTTTTTATAAAAAAGATTTATTACAAAGAAAAACTTTTTAGAGAAGTTTTTTTAGGATGCCTTCTTGGAGAAATAGCACATTATTTATACAAAAAAAAAGTAAATGAATAGTAATATAATAAGACGAAGTCGTGATTAAAGTCATAATCTTACAAAACACTTGATATAAAATAGACTAAACATAAAGTTGATTTAAGTATATTTAAAGTTGAAAGAGACTTGATATAAAGTAATCTTGTGTTACTATTAACCTTTGAAGTCTTTGGAAAGCATATGAAGCATTATCACGTATAATTATACAATTAAATTGGAATATGAAATCTTTTGTTTGAAGCACTATTGAATTTCTGACTTGATCATTCTGAAAAACTTTCAAGATGTTAGAGGATTAGACAATCGTTTATCCATTGAAATAGGTTTTGTTCAAAATCATTATAGTCTGAATCATAATTTTAGAACAGATGACTATACAGCTGGTGTTCAAATCTCACTCGAATTATGGAGAGATCTTCTGCATTTTGCCAATAAGGATAAAAGTGAGTTAGTTCTGAAGGGATGTAAAGATCAAAATTAATAAATCTCTAAGAAAAGTCACTCCATAGTTATTATAAATAATGCAAAAAGGCTTTTTTTTGGGGTTGAATGAAGACGAAAAAATACCAATTTTCATAGGATTCTGCAGGTCAGGGCCAGCAGCGTATTCACTGACGACCATGTGTGTACATTTGCTAGAAACTACTATTTTGTCAAGTAAAACTAGTTTTATCCATCGAGCTACTTTAAATGTATTGCTACATGACTATGTGATATCTTTGGAAGTTGGGTAGTGGATGATAGGTACTGGTAGTGAATATTCATCTTAAGAAAACTATTATTTTGGCGAATAAAATTAGTTCTGTATTAAGCTTCTTTAAATGTCTTGCGGCATGACTATGTGATTTCCTCACAGTTCTATCAAGATCTGGCAAACTCTAAAAAGGCTTTGGAATGTCTTCAACAAGTTATACAAATTGATGAAAGGTAACTTTGTCCTTGCTTTCTTAGTCATCATATCCCTCCTAGAGCAGTGTGCTTATTTTCCAGACTAAATTAAATTGTTTGATTTACCTTATCTTTAAACTTGATGTCATTAATCTCTTTCTAATAGGTATTCTAAAGCATGTCACTTACGTGGGCTACTACTTCATGGGATGGGAGAGCAAAGGTGTGTTCAATCAACTGTGTTTTTGTGAATGGTTTAGTTTTCTCTGATTTAATATCATGTACTTAATCAATCTAATGATGATACGGACCATCTGTGATATAATTGTTCTCTGAACTGCAACTGTCGCATGGCATAAGTATCCTGGTGTTTAAATATTTTGTTGATCCGTAGGATGGCCTAACTGTAATTGAAGCATCCGCTATTTAGTATTTACTGTCAATTGTAGTTGTATAGGCCAACCATCAATATTAGTTTTTACTGATAATCTTTTGTTACTTGAGGTTGTTCTTTATTAGCACTCCTATTTTTTCATCTGTGCTTAAGTGACTAACTTTTACTGCTAATTTTTTATTACTTGATCTGTTCACTTGAGGTTGTTCTTTATTAGCACTATCATTGTCTCATCTGTGCTTAAGTGACCCCACTTGGCTGTCGCAGGAAGGCTATTAAGGATTTATCAATTGGGTTAAGCATTGAAAACTCGAATATTGAGTGTTTGTACTTACGAGCTTCATGCTATCATGCAATTGGAGAATATGCAGAGGCGGTAAATAATGATTTTGATTTAAGAAACTTTGTTTGGTTAAATTATAACACTGCATTGATTGCCTTTTGGCATTACTTTACTGAACTAAAATTTAACATTCACAGGTCAAGGACTATGATGCTGCACTAAATGTTGAACTGGACTCAATGGAAAAGTTTGTGCTTCAATGCTTGGCTTTCTATCAGGTTTGCATGAATGCAGAATAATATAACTTTTTCCTGAAATTCCTTGATTAGTTTTTTCTTTCATATGTTTGTTTTCATTGAAGGAATTATTAGCTTATTACTCACCTGTCACTTGTTATTGGTACTAATCTTCACCTAATATGATTTCGCTTCTACTCGAACCTGTAAGTAAATTCTTTTTACTTGCAGATGAGTAAATGTGACATGTGCATGGATTTTCTGTGTTTTCCTTACTTTATGTTTTCTATATTGTAGTGGATGGCTTCTTATTGTCTGAAATTCTTTTCTATTCTCGACTTTTGGTTTGTTTTAATTTTTATACTTGAGGTGTGTCTAGGCACAAAGTTTAGGTGTAATGCAGCAAAAGAGCCTCTCTCACCTTCCAAGGTTAGGTGGCTTATATTAGGGATCACGCCTTTTTCTGGGTGTCAAACATATTGTTTTGAAGCATATGCTCAAGAAACAGTAGCTTATAGTTTAGTTGACTGTCTTAATGATCATCTTTATTTGACAATAGTTCTTACTAGCCTTGACTTGTATGTGATAGGGTCTCTGAATTTGAAATTCTTCATTTGCAGAAAGAGATTGCTTTGTACACAGCTTCCAAAGTCAACAGTGAGTTTTGCTGGTTTGATATTGACGGGATATAGATCCACTGTTCAAGGTAATAATTCATCGTGATAGTCACCATTGAACTTAAAGCTCCTCGTTGCGTGTGTGCATTTGTTTTTTGTGCCTTTCTTTTTGGCTTTAATGTTGTAAGAAAAATTAACAATTTTGTCTTCCATGGCTTCAGTTTGCCATCATTTTAGGTTGTATCATATTTTTGAGAAACAAATTACTTTGCGATGCTAAATATATAATAAGGCAAATTGTTTAAAACTTCAATTTGTTTCCTGGTGGAGATTTTTCTCGTCTTTTGGCCTTTAAGTTTCTTATACTTGTTCTTATGCAGTAGTACTGGTGCAAAAGGTTGCACCCCAAGAATGTACGTGAAAAAGTTTTCAGACAACCTCCATTGCATGATTCTCTGAAGAAGGGAAAGCTTAGAAAGCAGGATTTTTCTGTTACAAAGCATAAGACTGCTCTTCCATTGGCGGCTGACTCAACTGGCAAGAAAATCCAATATGACTGTCCTGGTTCTTACCAAATAGGCGTCCGGTGATTAGTTTTGAGAATAATTCTAAAGTAGTTTTGGTCTTTTTCTTTATTTGATGCCCTCCCCCACCTTCCCTCGATCCCCTTGGCTCCCTTGAAAGTCAGTAAACCAATCCCCCTCAAACTTCGTAAAGATTTTCCCTCTTTCTTAAATTTAACAGGCTTGATGAAAAACTATGAAACTCTATTCGAAAGATGACAGATCTTACACGTTTGTTTCAGTTTGAAACATTCTTAAAAAGTCTGTGTACAAGAAAGAACATGGATTCCTATATGATTGTATGTATAAAATAACGGCAAAAAGGATGTTGGAGGTTTTGTTATAGTTGCTTTCAGGTTTCAAGCACGTCAATGTGTGTACTTGCTCCACTTTTTATTATTATTCTGCCTGGATGCGAATCAGAAAAATCTCATAATAGTGCTTTCATAAAAGAACTACTTAGTTTGTCTCATATCTCAAGTTAGGTTTGTTTGGACATTAACATTAAGCTATGTTAATTCCATTGAGATTCTGAGCAAACTATGTGGCTTTGTGATGCTCATGTTTTCTTCCTCCCACATTTCTTCCTTGAAAAAGGAAAATACAACTGAAAAGCTTGCCATTGAGTTCCTTGTTTCCATGATTGCCCTTTGTTAAACTGCTTTCCCACTCTTACTGCATTTTGGTTTATTAAATATTTTCATCATGTGTTATGTATCAGCATCGTATGGCAGGATTAGCTGCAATTGAAATTGTGCAGAAGGTGTCAAAAGCATGGCGTTCTTTGCAAGCGGGTTGGAAGCATTCTAATAGAAGCTCGAAAAATGGTAAGAGGGTCCGAAGAAGGGTCAGTATGGCTAGCCAGAACAGACGTGGTGCTGATTGTAGTACAAGCCGTTCTTCAGAAACATCAGCTTCTTATTGCATTACTGAAGATAGATCATCTAGTCGCCTTATGATGTCATGGCAAGATGTTTAGTCAGTGGCTGTCAAATGGAGACAAATTTCAGAGCCTTGTGACCCAGTTGTGTGGGTTAACAAGTTGAGTTCTGCTATCTATACCCTCATTACCTACAGAATTATAGCAATGTTAAACATTTAATGTTTACCTTATTGTTTGTTGGCATCTCTTGTGTTATTTATCCATTATAGATTTTGGCCTTGTCATCTACAATTTCTCTGCTATCTTGTTCAGGATTTTTTTTTTTTTTGTAAAATCTTAAAGCTGCTTCTTATTTGTACTTCAAGTGTGCTTTTTGTTGATTGTCTCATTTTTTATATTTGGTTTTCTCCCCAACAGTGCATAGGTGTTCCAATAGGTCATATATGCAATTACTGTAATTTAATGCTGCATTTATTGCAGTATGGGTTGGATTCAATTCAGAGAAAATGTCATAGTTCTACTCATGGGATCATAGATCTCAATATAAACCAACTAAACACATGATATGATGTTGAAAATCCCGGTTATATTTATCACCATTTTGGTACAAAGGAGTCAGATCAGCATTTTGAATAGTTTCAATTCTTCCAGAGGACTTCACACAAAAATATGTGATTGTTTACTGAGCTTGTGCTTCCTCTATTTTGCTATTCAGTGAAGAGTTCGATTCTGCATTTGGTTCTCACACGCCAATGGTCCTTGGACAAGCACAAGTTGTTCGCTATTTCCCAAATCATGAAAGGTAAATATCTGGTTTGATTCATTAACAACAGGATTGTTATAAATTCTCATTATTTGGTGATATTGCAGAACATTAGATATAGCATTTGGCCAGTTGCATTTTTTGGAACATAATCTTCATGCAATTTGAGTTTTCAATGATCTTTTATCCTCTAAAAATTTGAAGAAATAAAAATATAGACTTTTGATTAATTATATTCTCATTTGTAAATCTTTTTTAGAATTAGAAAACTAAGTCTCAGTATTCTGGTTTAGACTGTTTTCAACTGTCCTGTTCCTCAAATTTTCAGTAAACCAAAGAAAGCCTAAAGAATTTTTCAAAGATCTTTTATGTTTTATCTTATGGAGTCTATAGTTCTACACGATATGACTTTTAAAGTCAGTTTGCGGCTGATTTTGAAGTGCAAATAGTTTTTGGACATATCTACCTTTATATATGGAAATTTCATGTATATAGCAATATTAACATACCACTTGCAGATTGTGCATGCCAAATCTTGTGACGATCTTTATGAACTTGTGGGTGAGGACTTCTGGTTGGCTACTTGGTGCAATGGTACAGCCGTTGAGGGGTAAAGATTCCAACAACTTAAAAGGATGATCTTGGAATCTAAAGCTTCTTGTTACAACATAGTCATGACATAACGCTGTTTTATTCTTATTTCAGGAAACGGCTTGAAGGTACTAGAATTACCTTAGTGAAAATGTAAGTCTTTGTCAACTTGTTTCTTTTTATTTCTTAAATTAATTTGTTATACTTTTCTTTTTCTATTTTAATTAACTTTTCTGGTTGAAAAACATTGAATAATTCTCATAGGGGGCAGCGTGGATATGAATTTGCAATCAGAACACCTTACACACCTTCCAGATGGGAGGAATTTGATGCTGAAATGACAATGGCATGGGAAGTAAGTTGCTCTTTATCTCAAACATGGGCCAATAGTCGATAATTATTAGCCAGACTTAGTCTATCAATGCTCTTCTTTGACAAAAATGTTGTTGCTCCATGTTTACTCTGACTATCTCAGATAATTTCATGCTGATTCTCAATTTTAGCAGATATGTAATTGCCATATACATACAACTCACAATTGAAAATGGCATGAAAATGAGTTCTATCATCTTCTGGTTTCTTATTCACTTTGTAGACCAATCTGTTCATGCATTGAAATCCATAAAATGCTGGAAGTAGCAAAATCCTAATTTTTTTGTGGTACCTCATGATTTATAGCCCTTGCCTTTCCTTATGCTATTACTTTTAAGTATCTTTTACTCTTTTCTTCTATTTATTTTCTGATTGATTGTGACATTTGAATTTACCAACTTGTGGATTCGCGGGCCATTTGCGATGCTTATTGTGGTGAAACTTATGGTCCACTGATTTCAATGTCTTTGAGAATGTGAGAGAAGCTATTTTAAGAATGACGTATTACTGGTATGACATGTGATATCAGAATGGAAATGGCTGGTTTATGTTTTGACAACATCAAGATTTTTGGTGCAAATAATACTTGATTGCTTTTCAGGTACAATTTCATGCCACTCTCAAGCAGCACTGCGGTAGTTGGCTTCGTTATTTTGCTTGGATTGTTTCTTGCTGCTAATATGGAGTTCACGGGCAACATTCCTAAAGGTGTGCAAGTTGATTGGGAAGCCATTCTGAACTTTGATCCAAACTCCTTTTTGGATTCTGTTAAGAGTTGGCTGTATCCATCCATAAAGATTTCGACATCATTGGAAAGATTTTCCGGATGTAGCCTCAACTTTTGCAACAACAGGATCAGTTGTTGCTGCTCTGAGCTCATATGATGATTGAACTCTTTAACTCAAACACGTGGCTGAAAAGTGGTTGAACATGTATGATTGTTTCCCTCTTTCTTTCATCATTTTTGCATGGCTCAATCTTTATCTTCTTAAAATGGCATATTAAAACCTTGGGTTTTTCTTTAGAGGCATTATTAAACATTATGAGTTAGACAACTGCAATTAAATGATTTGAAGTGAATACGATTCATTCTATGATTTGACCGGTAGATGGTACGAGTGAAAGATCAATTTTAGGGCTATAGGAGCAGACAAATCACTCCCTGATCATATACGTACTTTTCTAATCTCAACTTTGTTGCAGAATTATTGCCAGCACAAAAGCAATTTGTGCTGTTGCTCGTATATGGGAGTGGGTTTTTCGGCACGCTCATAGATCAACAACCATGGATCGTGTTCATTTCAAGGCCAGATTTCTTTGTCTCGGCACTGTCATCTGCTGCTGTAAACATGTGTTGTTTGTTTGAATGTTTTGAGCAGCATTATAGAATAATAGAATTTGCAAATTCTTGTAACCTTTCTAATTATTTACATCAAACAAATCTGGCTTTTATTAAATGTGATAACATATGGATAGATATCATTTCCCTGGCAGTACCGTTTTGTTTTAATAGATTGTGCGGGAAACAAAATGAAAAAAAATAAATGGAAAAGTTGACTATCACTGCTTGAATTGGTTGTTCTATATTGCATTTCTTCATTTCTACTCTTGTTTTGTGAACAAAAGAAAAAGAAACCTATGCAATATAGGAGAGTTCAAGCTTAAAATCAAATTACTCTATTTCGTATTAAACAAATTCCATTAGCGTCAACAGTCAATGTCGTCTGTTAATAAAATGTCAAAAGTAATGTGATTTGTTTGATTTGTTAATTAAATGTGGGACATTTAATTTCAATAATTAGAATTCAATTATGATAGTCTTAAATACTAAAAAAAATTTTCATTACCAACTTTTCTGACAAAACAGGTTATTTTATTTTGATAACTACCAGCCCAGCTCATTCATGAGAAAATTCCAAATAAATTTGGCTGGTTGATCATTTTTATTCTTCTGCATAGATTAAAGACTGGCTTAAAATTATTTGTGAAGATATTGTTTTTAAGAAGGTTTTGTAACCAAATTCAATCATTTGAACGACTCCAAAAAGTAAATATCCCTGGGCCATGGTTGCCGGGTGGTTCTCTTGATGGGGGTTCGTGCTGTTTTACCAAATTCCATAATTGTTAGGTTTGATAGAAGGCTGGAGCCTGTATGCATAAGTAACATTAAGCCATTCAAACCAAACCTGTGGATCTGATTAATGGTATAAATAATATATTAATATTTATAAGTTATCTAAATTTGATTAAGATAAATTTTAAATTCGATTCGATTATTATTAAGTCAAACTAAAGTTCGAGTCACTTAACTTCTCAAGCTAGTCAAGTTTAAGTTTCTTAATATCTAACTCAAGTAATTTGTGAGCCTAATTAAAATTTTATATTTTAATATATATTTATTATTTTAATTAAAAATTATTGTTTTATTCTTATATATATGTATATATATTAATTGAGCTTGAGTTCGAGCTCAAACTTGAATTTTAATATAAATAATTACGTTTAAAGTCGAATATGAAGATTGATCTCATTTTTTTATTTGATAAACGAGTTTAATTGAATGAATTTGAGTAATTTAATTTTTGTCTCGAATTGAGCTTAAATTTTAAAATTTGATCTAATTTGAACCAAATTTCGAGTCGAGATCGAGTTTAAATTTCTCACTGCATCGATTCAGTTTGACTTGATTACACCTAGATGTAGCATCCTAACCTAAAGAGATATTAATTTATACAAGGTGACCTGAAACCTAGCCCATGATTTTGGGCCTGATTTTGAACACAAATTTGAGCCTTCGGCCCTGCTAATCCAATGCAATATCCAATTTTTAAAGGGCCTTTGGGCTTACTTGCTCGTCAACGGGTAGTAATGTTTGTAATTAAATTTATTTTTTTGTACAATTACTTGTAAAAAATAATATTTAATAATTTTAAAATTTAAATTTTTAATATTTGTAATTTTTTTAATATTCAAATTGCATCTTCATTTGTAAGTTAAAAAACAATGAAAGACTTAACATGATAGTTTCCTAGAACTCGGGCATACAAAAATTATTAAAGAACAAAAAAGAAAAGAATATTGGTATTTTTTTTGAAAAAGAGTTTGGTTGTCATAGGGGGTGTAATCGATTGAGTTTGAACTAATATAATACCAAACTCAAGTTTGATTCCAAATTTAAGACTCAAAACTTGGCTTGAGCTCGATCAAATTTTATATTTTTAGCTCAAATTTAACTTGAGATAAAAATCGAGTTACTTGAATTTGCTTAATTATGTTTGTTTAAAATATAAAAATAAGCTCGATTTTTATATTAGATAAAAATTCAATTATTTTTGCTCAAGTTTGAGATTTTTTACAATTATTTTTTATCAAACCTATTAAAATATTATATTTTTGAGATAATAATAATAATAATAATAATATAATAATAATAATAAAGCCCTGTGTCACATGCTCAACATCACGAATCTTTTTCCCATTAACATTAGAATAACAAAATAGCAAAGATCGCCTAATAATTTCAAGGCAGAGTTAAGAAGAGATGGAACTTAACCAAAAAGTCTACTAAATGACTTATTTGAGGCTAAAAAAGTGTCCGGCAAAGACTTGGCCTACAGAAAAGTAAATTATATAAATCCATTTCTCAAAAAAAGTAATTACAAGGTTGGTTCACTTAAATAAGAGCTTACCATTACTAAGAGAAAATTTTCATAAAGTATAGTAGAATATGAAGAGTTATCAAATGATTTTGAAATTGTGAAAAACTTAAAACTGCATGAAGAAAAGAAAGCTTAAAGTAATAATGACTTAAGAAACTTACAAAGATTTATCCAAGCATGGTTCACAAACCCAGATGATGTTGATGTATTGATGGGACGTGAGATATTGATCGATAGAGAGAGAAAAAAAGCATTGCTGGCCTAAAATTTTTTGGGATTGCAAAAAGAGGAAAGCAGAAGCCACTCTAGAGTGAAATCTGATAAAGAAAGAACAAATGAAAAATGCAAGCTAAATGCTCAAATCATGATCAAATGTTTGTGTGGTTGCTCAATTTAAGATCAAATATTTTAATTTGTACAAATAAGAATCAAACGTTATTGACTTATAACAATATAAGATTTATTTCAACGAAAAATGCGATGTGCATGTTATGTGCCATTATAACGCTCAATAGGAATAGGAATCAACTAAAATTTTATAACAAAGTAAATGCTTATAATAGAAATTAGATAACAATGTAAGAGACATGTACACTTAAACTAACTGTAATTTTCATTGTTAGGGATTTAAGGTTTTTTTATAATACTTATAACGTAAATTTTTGCTGAAAATAATTCTTATAGCACTTATCAATTGTTGTTGCTAGAATTTGGGGTTTATTGTGATAGAATTTAATTTTCTTGATTTTGCAGTATGAGTTTTGATGGCTTTTGTTTGTAATGGTCGTAATCTAATATATATAAATGAGATAGTAGAGGAATTGACAGTTGATCCTAATAAGATGTCTTATTTTGAGCTATTAGATATTTGTATTGAGGCTGGGTATATGAATATTAATGAGATATTGTATTTAAAATTTGAAAAAAAAACTAGCAGATGGCCTGATGATAGTAAATAATGATAGAAACGCTCTTGATATGATTAAGTATATGGTAGATCTAGGTATAGTTGATGTGTATATAGTATATGGCATAGATGAAGCTATTTTAGCTTCCTAAGTTGTTATTAGGACTTAAAGTGAAAGATGTAACTGAGGGAATAGGAATGAAAGGGTAAAAAAATCAACATGTAACTGATGCAGTAAGAAATAAAATGGTAAAAAGTTAACATGTAAATGAGGCAGTAGAGAATGAAAAGATAAGAACTAAAGAGGTGGTTGAAGAAGCAAGGGTAAAGAATGAAGACATAGTTGAGACAGCAAGAGCAAAAATTAAAAATGATGTTGAGGTAGCAGGGGTAGGAAAAAAAGATGTAGTTGGGATAAGAAAGGTAGCAAGGGTAAAAAATAAAGATGTGGCTGGGGTAAAAGTTAAAGATACGGTTGATAAAAATAGCAGTAGAGGAGATGACCTTATAATGGAACCAGATTCAACCTTACAGTCAATGATGATGTTGATAAAGAATATCAGAGTGAGTATTATGTCTCTAATGAGTATGGTGAGCCTGTCAGCAATGAGGATAAAATGGTTAATCATGCTACTATAATGAAAAGTAAGTTCCCAATGCAAAAACCCCTTGCATTGAGTTAGGTATGTTATTTAAGAATTTAAAACAATTTAAATATGTTGTGTCCTTATTGTTTATTAGGACAAATATGGATATCATTTGGGCAAAGTGCCATAAGAATTTTGTTAGAGGTAAACGTGTTGCAAAACAATGTCTTTGGGTAATTTATGCAGCATATGATAGAAAGTTACAATCATTTCATGTGAAGACTTACAATAACAATCATAAATGCAATAAGTCAAGTTATTTTGCTGAGTTATACGCAAACAGATTTATAAAAGATCCTTTTTATTAAGAATATAGAAGTGCAAGAGTTAGTTAAAAAAGAATTTGATACAGGGGTGAATAATAATAGTATGATAAGAAGGGCTAAAAAAAGTATGACTGATAAAGTTATTACTAATTATAAAGATGAGCTTGGACTTTAATGGGATTATGCCGATATGATTAGAGAAACTAATGAAAGCAGCACAATGAAGATGTAAGTTTATAGGTCATTGCTAAGTTTTCCACTTGTATTTGAAAAAAAGCCCAACAATTCAACAAATTTGTCTAGGAAAGGCATGATAATGACATGTAAACTATGTCATCAACTAGGTCATAACAAAAGAGGCTGTCTTGTGGTAGGCAATAAGGTAATTCATTCTATTTTATTTTTATTTATTATTATAAACATTATACTACTGTGGATCCTCTATTGTTAAAGTACTTTAACCTATCAACTCTATTATTTTTTCTATGATAACAAGATTATCTTGTGCTCAGATCTGAAGACCAGAACATGTATTAAGGTGCATTAAGTATTATAAATCATATTGAAGCTACACAAGATCCAAGTAACCATGCTACTGCTTCAGCTACTGTTTATAGTGCTTCTGCATCAGCTTTTACTTCTACGTCCAGATCTAGTTATGTATCTGTATCTACTTTAATTAATATCAATGGTTTTACATATGTATCTACAACTGCAATTACAACTATAACTCTAACTGTATCTACATTTGTACAAATCCTAAATCTAGTTTCAAATCCAACTTCAACAAATCAGTTTCAAATCCAATTTTGATTCTAGTTTCAACTTCAGCTTCAAATTTAGTTTCAGATCTAGTTTCCATTCTAGTTTCAACAAAAATTTCAAATCCAATCCATGTTGTTACTTTTGTTGCCATTGAAAATGCAAAACTGAAGTCCAAAATGACAACAAGATCTACTGAAAGATGTTTTACAAACGAAGATGAGAGATTTTATGGGATGACTGATGGAAAAACAAGTTCTTTATCAAAGTCTAACTCTTCTACAATAATCCTTGCGAAGAGAGTAATTTCAGCAAATAACATTGAAAGTCATAATGACAAGCACACTATTAGAGCTACCACTATAAGTGAAATAAAATACATGTAAAGTTATAGATTATATACAAACTTAGAAACAAGGAAACAAATCTTAAATGTGAGTGATTTTTTACAAAACATATATATATATTTGACTTTATTTCCTTAAATATTACCCATTATAACTTGATAAATGTTATTCAACAGCTTGGATTAAGAAGTTAGAAAATGATAGCAATTGGGATAAGTAGAGGCAAGAGGAAGGTTATTGATGATGTAATTGGCACTCAAGAAAGTCAAGTTATTGCTTCTAAAAAGAAGAAACAAAAAATCTATGAAGTTAATATTTTGTTTTGTTGATTGTTACTGTTAGCTACTGATGTTAATTATTCTTTTTTTCTTGTTAATATTATAAGAACACTTTCTATTTAACCTTCTGTTGGTTGAATATTTTTTGTATTGAATATTTTGTAAGAACATTTTCTTTTAACATTCATCAAATTACGTTATTATAAGATTTCCTCTATTATCAGATTGTCTCAGATTACTTTCTAGTTGTATTTTACAAGTTGAATATATTGCACTAAACCACATTTTCACAGCTAATAACATAAAACAACATAATTAATAGCTAATAACATTGATTCAATTGCCATTGACATAATAAAAGTTTTAACAAACATTTATAAACCCTTATAACAATCTTAACTTAATATCAAGCATACGGAGTTTTTAAAATTTTTTTGGCATTGAAAAAGATTACACAAAACACAAGTATAAAAAAAAAATGAGATAAGCAAATTATTTTCTAGTTACCCTCTCTACCATGTTCACCATTGGCAATTGTATTGCTTTCTTTCAATTTCAATGTAAAAAAACTAACTTCTCTCCTTAACTGCTTATTCTCTGCAATAACATCAGCTTCACTAACATTTTCCTTCAACTTTAAAATTTCATATTTCAAACTTTGAACATGACTATATAAAAATTTTTTCTCTTTTTTTGAGCTCCAGAATAATCTTTTTTGCTTTTTCAAAAATTTTAGGATCATGACATAAATGAAATCCATAAATAATGCCCTATAATCACACTAAGAAAATATTAAGAAACAAATACCAGTAAAAACACCAAAAAAATATTATAAAAAATACCAAAAAATACCAATAAATTTATCGAATAATATGGACATCCATAAAATCTTCTACCAGTATTGCTATTTGTCTATGAAGTCCACCTAGCTACCTTCATATTGTAGTAACAAAAAATAGGTTCTTCTTCAAAGTCCCATTCTACAAGGTAACTAGTTGAAATTAACTTATACTTATTTATATCATAAGACCCTCATCTAGAAACCCTGTAATTTTAATATTTTGAAGAACAAATTCAAAAAAATTAGAGCATAAGAAAAACCTAAAATTTATACAAGGTAACTAGCTGAAATTAACTTATACTTGTTTATATCATAAGACCCTCATTTAGAAACCCTGTAATTTTAATATTTTGAAGAACAAATTCAAAAAAATTAAAGCATGAGAAAAACCTAAAATTTATACCAACCTTAAATTTACACTGCTAGATAATTGATATTTGAAGAAGACATTATGTTCAGATGTTATTTTAACAAAAAAAAATTTTCAATTTACAGTGACAAACGAGAAGAAACGAGGATAAGACTTGCTTGGAAATGAAAAAACACTAAGTTGAAACTCTTTTACGTTATTACAGGATAAAGAAAAATAAGATAAAAACAATCAAAATCTTAGCTAAGTTGTCGTTACATGTAGATAAGTTAATTTCACGTCATATTCTATGTCATGTTTGTTTATGATTGCTTTTACATGTAGGCAATTTAACGACATGTAACATGCACGTTGTATTTTTCATTAAAATACATATTATATTATTATAAGTCGATAATATTTAATTCTTATTTATATGAATTAAAATGTTTGGTTATGAATTGAACAATCACTCAAATGTTTGATCTTAATTTGAGCATTTAGTCAAAAAATGCATTAAAGTTTGCTAGGTTAGGTATATTAAAGGTAAAATAGTAAATTATTAATTAAAATAATTAAAATATAAAAATTTGATTAGACTCATGAGTTATTGGAGTTGGATATTATAATACTCGAACTTAATTATTTGATAAGTTAAACTGTTCAAACTTAAATTCGATTCGATAATAATTAAGTCGGATCTAAATTTTATTCAAATCGCATTCGAATAATTTGAAAATATTAATATATCATTTAAGTACTTGCACCATCATTAAATATTCAACTATAACTATATGCCAGCAACAATTAAAGGGTTAATTAATTGAAAAAAAAATTGGTAGAACATAACTAAAGCATGGTACAGAATCTTTCACTCCTCTTTGTCTTTCACCTTAGAAAAAAGAAAAAAAAATTAAAGATGGTAAAGAATCTGATTCCAAAGTGGTTAAGAAAATGGTGTCAACATTACATTACATTGCATTACAAAATGGCTATATCATTAAATGATATTGAAAACTGTTTGGTCCCTTTCTTTATTGGACTTACCAATCAGCTTCTTCAGGATCTGTGACAACCTTTGGTTATTTCCAGCACGGTACGTGAGACCAAATGTTTTTTCTTTTTTCTTTTTTTTAACTATAGGTTGGTTTTGGTGGCACTTCGTCCAAGACAACTTTTTCATGGGACCCACAATGTTTTTGCCGGTGACCCCGATAATCCCAAAACATCACCCGACACTCCACAACTGCTAATTCCCTAACGTGGCTGACTCCTATTGGCTTGTCACTTTGCCAAGCATGACCCCACCTTCCTGCTCTTCCAGCTGTCCACCAGTCCATTTCCATTTTGCAGCCCACAAAAATAAATAACAAATATTTAACGATTTAATTAAATTTTTATTAGTGACGTGTCAGCAAATCACATGCACTAATTTAGGAAGGCCCTTCTAAGTGGGCCCCTAATCCAGACTGTGTCGAGGTCAACATTACACCGTCTATTTGTTTGATAGTTTGATGCTGGTGGGCCCACAATAGGGTCATCCAACGGCTATTCCTGTCCCATGTGATCGTGGGGCCCTTTTTTGTTTTTTCTACGGTCTAGATCTGTCTAAACCTTTCCGTTACTTTGATAATTATTTTCATTTATTTGTACTCCTCTGCCATTAAGTTTTCTTGCTACTCCACTCTCAAACGAAAAAACATTAAAAAAAAAAAATGGATCGTAGAAGCGGGTTTGCGGTTGCTTTGATCTGCATTGTGGTGGCTGGTGTCGGCGGTCAAGCTCCGGGCGCCGCACCTACTAAAGCTCCGCCGACAACGACTACTCCTGCTACTGCTCCCGCTACAGCTCCTGTGAGTAAACCTAAATCACCAGCTCCAACAGCAGCTCCAACCGCTTCTCCAACCACTTCTCCACCAACTTCTTCACCACCAGCTGCCGCTCCGGAGAAGTCTGCGGCTGTTCCAGCTCCATCTAAATCTGCTCCGGCTTCTTCTCCTCCGGCTGCTACCCCAGTAAGTACGCCACCTGCTCCAGTTCCTTTGAGCTCTCCTCCAGCCCAATCGCCTCCCGCTCCTGCACCGACAACTCCTCCAGAGAGCTCGGCCTCTCCTCCGGCTCCTGTTGCAGCACCAACTACAGCTGAGGTTCCGGCACCAGCTCCAAGCAAGAGCAAGAAGAAGTCTAAGAAACACAATGCTCCTGCTCCTTCACCCGAGTTGCTTGGACCTCCCGCTCCACCAACTGGAGCTCCTGGACCTAGCCTCGACGCTTCCTCTCCCGGCCCTTCTGTCGCTGCCGATCAGGTACATTCTATACTCTTTTCTCACATTTCAATATGTTTTGGTTCTAATTTTCACCGTACAACAATGCACTTCTAGATCTGAAAATTTTTAGTAGTTACACGGCTTAAGTTAGCAAACTCAACTTTATAAATAGATTTCTGAAAATGAACGTTAGAAATTGGAATGTGGATTGTGGCTCCAAGCAGACAGTTTAACACATTTAAGCGCGTTTACAGGACGCGCCGCTGAGTAAGGTGGAGCTTGTCCATTTAGTTTTTTTAAAAATTGCCAACGGATCTCGAGGTGATCAACAAATAGAGAAAAAAATCTGATGCCTAAATTTTAGAGGGACAGCGAAAAATGACTCAATCGAAGTCGAGAATTACAATCCTTGCACATAAAACTAGGTCAGCTCATAATTTGGTTTTAATTGATCGCGAATGATTTAATTCGATTAATTAATTAATTAATTATTAAATTAATTTTAATTAATTATCAAATAATTTAAAAGAATTTGAATTTTTGATTAATTTGATTTAAAATTTTAATTAAAATATTATAAAACTTATATATAAAATTAAAAATATATAGAATTATTCATTTCATTTCAAGTTATTAAAATTTTTAATTTAATAATTTAATATTTTTGTTAAATAATTTTATTTAATTTGTTTCATAAATAAAAAATTAAAAATTAATATATTTTAATATATTTTATTATTTAATTAATCAAAAAATTAATAAATTTTATAGAATTAATTTTAATCTATTAATTTTTAAAATTAAAATTTTGAATTTAATTAATTTGATTTTGAATAATTCAATTTGAAATTAATGAACATTTTTAATGGAATTCATTATTAATTGATTTTATAATTTATATTTATATAAAATTTTGAATATTTTTGGAAAAAAATATTGCAGAGTGGAGCAGAGACAATCAAGAGCGTGCAGAAGATAATTGGAGTGTTGGCATTGGGATGTGCAGCCATTGCTTTGATCTTTTAGAGGAGACATCTGCTTTGATCTTCACATTTGATGATGTACTATTTATTTATTTTTTTCCTTTTAAATTCTACTTGCATAATGGTGTGGTTTTATCCATTGGGATTTTACCACATTTGCTTTTGTAATTCTTTGCGAGAAGTTTGAAAGGGGGAAGACATTTTTATTTTTTGGTGTAATTCCGCTACTTTATTCCCTTTTGGACAATTTGTTTTTTAGGATACGCTTTTCTTTCCTATCCTTTGATTCCTTTCTTCCATTCCTATTTAGGATTTATTTGGATTAGCTGTAAGATTGATTTCGATTAGATTAAAAATAATGATAAATGTGAAATTAATTATTATAATGATGAAATTAAATATTGTAATGATGAGATTAAAATTAATGATGATATATATATTTAAATGTAAAAGTAACATGGTAATAAAGTTATTTGTAATAAAAAGAGAAAATGATTATTAAAGATATTAACTTAAAAGTATATTAATCAATTATTTTATATATATATTTTAATATTATTTAATATTCAATATATTAAAAATTTATTCAATCAAAATATTGAAAAATATTAAATTATATTAAAGTAATAATTAAAATTTTAAGTATAAAAAATTATTTGAAATATTTAATATTTCAAAAAATAATAATTGTAACAATTATAAATATAATATTAAAATAAAATATATAACAAAATAAAATATTCAAATATTAATAAAAAATAATTATTATTTAAACAAAAAAAACATATTTACACATTTTTTAGAGTTAATAATACTAATTTATTTTATCATTTATTTAGTTATCTATTTTAATTAATTAATTAATTATAAAAATGTTTTTTAATTAATTATTTACTAAAAATTAATTAATTATCTATTTTAATATTTATTAAAAATTTATTTGATTAGAAAAATGAATTATTTGTTTTATATTATTATTTTTATCTATTTATTTATTAATAATTTTATTATAAAATTATATAACTAATATATTTCATAATTATAAAATTCTTGTAAGGAGATAAAAGGGGTATAAAAGGAAGGAGAGCTGTGGTTTAAAAAATAAAACTCCACTGGACCTTAAAGGTCCAGTTGAAAAAATGGGGCAAGCGCGGTGGATTATGCTTCACCGCGACACAGCAGTGTTTGCCAAATGAGTGCGAGGTGAGATTCAAAGCAAAATTCGCACCTCATTGGCACTGCAAGCTGATCCAAATGAAGCCTTAGTAATTTTTCTTTTTCTCTTTGGTCGTTGGCATTACTATTGATTTATTCTTCGGTTATATTTCTAATAAATCACAATTTGTCCACTATGTTTTATCGTCATTCTTATTATTGTCGATGGCTTGTTTTTTGATAACTGAAGTGAATTTAAACCTCCAACACCCTTGTCTAATTTAAAATTAATCTAGTGTAAATGAAGAAATTCAATCAATTTATAATAAATGATTGGATCTAATTTTAATATAAAATTATAAAAAAATTAAATATTTATTAGACATAAAATAATATTATTTTAACAAATTTTTATCATGTTTAGGTCAAGATTAAAAAAATTTATTACATAACAAATTTAAAAAAAAAAAATTTCATGTAGGTGGAAATAAAAAAGGATAACAGAAAATTTTTTTTGGTTTTTATTGGTTTTCTATCACGGGAAAATAGAGATATAAAAAAATTATCACGTGACATATTTAAGAAAAATAATAAAATTTTTTTTAATTTGATATCATATTAAAAATTTAACTTAAAATTAATTAATTTTAAATAAAAAACTTCAACCTAAATATAAAACTTAACTAGAATATAAAATTATAAAAAATTAAAATATTTATTAAACGACAGACAACATCACTTCATCGTGCCCGTCATGCGTTTGTCTGTCTGGTTTTGTTTCCATTTTTACGGTGTTTATTTAACATGCCCAACTGAGTTGGCCTGCGTTTCTTCTTCGATTTCATCTCAAAAAATCCTTATTCTTCGCTTCTTATCATTCAAAAAAAAAAAAAAGGAAAAATCCCACCGTTTGAATTGAAAAAGTATAGGGAAGTTGGTGTTACCCTGGGGTAAGCATTCATTTACGATAGTTAACCATCTCATAAGGCGCAGCCTAAATTACATTGACAGCTCGACACTAAAGTCTCTCCACCTTTTCGTTAAAGAAGGATCATCGTCCTTCTTGTCATTGAATAAATTCTCTAAGAAATAAAGCCTCCAACTAACGTACTCCACAGGCATTACCTCCTTCAGAAGCATTTTTTCTTTTTGTCCAGAATTCATCAACCCTCTTTTTTTTTTTTTTTTGGGTTTGGGTGGTCGATACTAAGGTCTTTCCACAGCCATTATCGATTATCAATCAACCAATGGTGAAAAACAAAGTCATTCTTTTTCTGCAAAAGTAGTTGTGGTATTGTTTATCAAGTTCCTATAAAAGTGATCTTATGCTTGCTGCCACTGCAAAATAAATGGTACTAGTTTTTACTTGATATATAAGTCCATATTATTCGAAGATGCTTTCAATTTTAAAGAATCATTCTCGAAAAGATCTGATAAAATTATTACATTTTTATTGAGAAAAATTATTCAAATTTAATTTTTTAAACATGATGATTTAAAAAAGGTTGAACCCAAAGTTGAACTTAGGTGAAATGGCGGCCCAAAGTTGAACCCAGGAGTGGGTTTGATTGACCCATTTAAGGCCCAAGAATGAGCCAGAGGTGTCGGAGTTGGACCCACAAAAGTTGAAATATCATGTTCCGCCAAATCTAACTGACAAACGTCCGAATTGATATGAACAGAGCAAATAGTAGTACGTAAAATGGTGCCTCTGCTTACCCTAGACATAGGTCTCTGTGACGACAATACACTTATACACAGTGATATTTCCAGTTTACTGACTTGGTAAACTTTTCTTGCTGAATTTCTGTTTTCTTTCTTTCTTTCTTTTTTTCCAGGTTAATTGTTCAATTAATTGCAACTGATGATTCATCAGAAGTTGATGAAATGAAACTTTTAGGTTACCTTCGAAACCTATTGGAAGCATCACCCCTTCCCCTTCCTAATTTGTTTCAACAGTCGAAACAGCAAAATGATGTGAGAAGTGCAGATTTCTTCATAATTGTGGTTTGCATAACAGGTTTCTTCTGGCAAATTGCAGATACAGGACAATGACGAACATCCTTTACATGTGCAGAAGCAGCCTTCGAAGAATGTTTCTGGTACATTGAATAAAGACATTTGGCATCATCTTTAACCCATGTGCTTTGACAGACAGTATTGCTTCCTTGCCTCATTTAGAAGTATTAGATTATCCGATTTAAAAGCCAATTTTTTAATCATGTTCAGTGTCTTTGGCCTCTCCTTGGCAGCCTCTCTGTGGCCAACTGCAAAGCAGATCATCAAGGTTGTAGTTCTTGTATGACCTGCTTTTCCAGTCGATGACTATACTAAAGCTCATTAAGATTTTGCTTATCATTGGGCTCTTATATATGTAGGTCAATCTGCTTGCTTCCACTCACAATGCTGATGAATCTTCTTATGGTCTTCATCCTTCCCGTGATCTTGGAGGTTGATCTTTGGATTGGATCTGTTAAAGTGTTCCACGAACATGATTATTAGTCCTCGACCCAAGGAAAACGTACATTATCATGTAATCTAATTATGTCTTGTCGTGGTTTTAACATGTGATGTAAGGCAAAAAAATAAAATTGTTGTTGTCTATGCAGAAAAAGTTTTCACCCTTTGTTTTGTAAATATAAGATTTATATATAGCAAGTACTATCTGTGTATTCATTACTGTAGTCGAATTCAGAAGCAATCAACACAAATTAATTATTATTCAAAGCACATGCTGTTTGCTACGTTGAAGATAAAATTTGGGTAAGTGGAGAAAACCAAAGTTCAAACCCCACCAATTATATCCTCATAACTTGACAGCGAAGTTCTAGTGGTTATAATTTGATTTTTTTTTTTTTTTATCATTAATTGGGTATCATTCAAGTTTTTGTTTTGCTTTGCCTGGAGATAAACATATGAGCAGTGGTCGGAATTCGACATTCTGAAAAGATTATAAGAAATTGTAGTCATAATATAAATAATATATGTATATATATGGTATCTGATTTTATCAAATTTGTTTAAAACATAAAAATTATCATATTATAATTCATATTAATAAGTTAAACACAAATTTTTTTAATTTTTTTATTTATATATAATTTTTATCGATTTTAAATCATATTATTTTTATATATTTTTCATATTATTTTTATGCTATATCTAAAATTACTGGGTTATGAACTTGATAATGTAATGAGAAGGGTAAGTATAACATCTCGTTAATAACCTAACAATGATGCATAATTGGAGATAAATTAATTAAGGTCGTTTTCATTAATTAATTAAATTTCTTCAAGCTAATAAATGACTGAGATTCTGAGATCCAGCTGGTTATAGGGTAGCTACTAGCTAGTTGCTCAGAGGTCATACCTGGGAGTGTGCATAAATTTATATCCGACAGCTGCAAGTCAAGTCAAAAGTGATACACTTGTTGACAAAGCTTTCATCATTTATCAGTGCCTTCCTTCACCCTTTCCGGAAGACAGTTGCTTCATTGGGCATTGAGGTGACAACCCATTGCCAAACCTTAATCAAGAGATAAAAACATGGAAAATAAACAAGATAGATAAGATTCGACACAGCCTGTTGTTTTCCACTATGATATTTACTTCTTTTTGTGGTCTTTCATGTATCTGTATTTTTTTCAGATATTTCTTCCCTGGATATATATAATTTCTCAAGCTGGATACAAAAAATTAGTGCAAATTGGGCCAGTTGATAAAGTCGAACGGCCCGGAATCCTCAAAGAACACATTGTTATTGATGGGGTATTGACTTAGTCAAAGAACTGTTTATATGGGTTTAATGCATGCATGGTTGGAAAAACCATTGATGACTTGCTAATTACTACTCATAGTCACAATATGTCTTTGAAATCTACATGTACATGCATAAATTCATATACTATCAGAAACAAATACATATGTCAATGTTCCTGTTGTTTACAAAGATGAACAAAATGTATTTTATATTGAAATGTTGGTATTATTTTCTTTTGGAAATACTAGTAGTGTTATGGTGATAATTTTATCATATTCTGTAATGATTTTCTTTCCAGCAGTCGCAACTGGGGAATCTGCGAGGGAACTAGTAAGTAACTAGGGAATCTGCAATTAAACGTGGCCGTGGCTGCTGGCTGGACAAACACAAAATCTTCAACCTTTGACCTCAGCTGATAATGCCTCATGCATTTTCAAAATAAGGACTAGCCTTCCTGTCTGTACCAAAGCTGTACACACGCACATTTTCCTTCCTTCTTTTTTTTTTTTTTAAATTATTTTTTAAATATGTTATTTTCTTTCCATCACTCAGAAGTTGGAAATGACAAAAAGCCTCTCTGTCTTTCTATAAATACCTTTGCAAAATCTCACAAATCCGTCAGTACTCTGCATTTCGAGCTCCAGGGCCTCTTTAGCTACCCCTTTTCCATCCAGAGCAAGTCACATACATTCACATTATTTTTGTGTTTTTCTCTACCTTACACTTTGCTACCATCCCTCTCTCTCTCACACACACAACCCAAAAAAAAAAATATGAAGCTTTTATTTCCAACTTTGTTATTCGTTTTCCTGGTTTTGAGGTCATCATTTGTCCAACTCTCCTTTGCCCGACCTATAGAACCCCTTCCCACACCTGCTTCACCTGCTCCACCTGCTCCACCTGCTTCTCTTCCTATAGAACCCTTTCCCACGCCTGCTTCACCTGCTCCACCTGCTTCTCTTCCTCCACCAGGTAATGTTCTTTTTTAATTAATTACTAGTCTTTTACTATGCATGCATGCATTAATATATATATATATATATATATATTTATAAAAAAAGGGTTAGCATGCCAATAGGACGGACGTAAATATAAATAGTTAAACTAATGTTATCTTTTAAAACTAATTGTATAAACATTTTGATTCATTTTAACATTAATATCTTGTCATGTGTACTAAAGACTAGTGTAGTACAAAACAAAAATTTTGGGGTCCCATTCTAAGAATGAAATTAATTGATTTTTTTTTTGTGTGACAAAATTAGGTTTCTGTGATAGCAAGTGTGAGGACAGGTGTTCCAAGGCTGGAGAGAAAGACAGGTGCTTGAAGTATTGTGGGATATGCTGCCAAGAATGTAACTGTGTTCCTTCAGGGACGTATGGCAACAAGTCCGAATGCCCTTGCTATCAAGACAAGTTGAACTCCAAGGGCCAGCCCAAGTGCCCTTAACTATTCAGCAAAATATTGCATGCACCGTCATCTGCTACATTTGCCTGTATCACTTCAGTTTATGTCTTCATTTTTCTTTCATTGTCTGCCTTCCAAGAGTTCTGGTGCTCTCGCTCACTTCTTGGGAAGGCATATTTATTTATAATTCCTTAAAATAAATGTGCCCTGACTTTGTTCATTCAACAATTTAATAATATAGTCTATTCATGAAAACAAAATGTCTATTTCTTAGATTTGTTTGGTTACTATTTTTGTCATTTTTCCAATCAAAATATAAAAACAAAAGAATATTTTAAAGAATTAAAAATTGATTCCATGATATTTTAAAATATACTAATAATATTAAAAAAAAAAAAAAAAAACTCGTGATCTCAATGCTGCCCCAGGGGCCAGTCAAGATCATATAGCAATATAAAAAAAATGTTGATGTCCTCGGTTTCATACAAAATTTTAATTTACAAACCTAACGTCAGTGGGCTCTGATTTAATTTATTTAGTATTTTAATCAAACAAAAAATTATATATTATAATTCATATAAAAAAATTAAATATAAAATATATATTTAAAATTTTATTAAATTTATATAGATATTTATTAAACTATTAAATCCGATCATTTTCATATTTTTTTATTGTATTATTACATCATATTTAAAATTATTATTATGACATCTACACATTCTATAAACGCATATTGTCAACCACGACGTCAACTACTGGCACATTTTATCTCTTTTCGGAAACTACATTGGATTTCATTCCCCTCCCCCTTTTATAAAAATTATAAAAATTTTATTTTTTAAAAATTATATAAAAATTATTTTTTAATTATATAAAATTATTTTTAATTATTAATTTATATATTTATATATTTATATTTAAAAAATAATATTTTATATTTAAAAATAATATTTTATTAATTTTAAATTAAATAATATAAAATATAATTTATATAATATTAAATTAAATCGGATCAAATTAAAATATAAAAAAAAATAAAAAAATTTTGAATTAGATCAAATTTAAATTTTATAAAACTAAAATTAGATCAAATTCAAAGTGAATAAAAATTTATCTCAATTTGACCTATTGTTAACCTTAAATAAAATGATTACATTTTTGTTGAGAAAAATTATTCAAATTTAATTTTTTTAAAAATGATGATTTTAAAAAAGTTGAACCCAAAGTTGAACTTGGGTGAAATGGTGGCAGGCCCAAAGTTGAACCCCGGAGCAGGTTTGATTGACCCATTTTACGGTCAAGAATGAGCCAGAGGTGTCAGAATTGGACCCACAAAAGTTGAAATATCACGTGCCGCCGAAGCTAACTGACAAACGTCCGAATTGATACGAGCAGACCAAATAGTAATAAGTAAAATGGTGCTACTGTACCAATAAGTTATTGACTCATTGGTCCAAGATTTTTTTTTTTTTTAAGATTTTGAGTTTAAATTTTATTGATAATTATTTGTTAAAATTATTTTAAATATATAATTTATAAATATTTATTTTAAATTATTAGTTACTATACATTTTATTTTTTATTTTGACATTGAGCAAGTTATATACTTAAATCTTTCTTAAAGAAAATATAGTGCTTCTGCTTACCCTAGACATATGTTTCTGAGACGACAATTCACTTATACACAGTAATATTTCCAGTTTACAGAATTGGTAAACTTTTCTTGCTGGATTTCTGTTTTCTTTCTTCTTTTTTTTCTAGGTTAATTGTTCGATTAAGTGCTTTTGCTGTGTTTAGTTGTTTTTGAGAACATGTAATTATGATGGACTGATTACAAACAGAGTTGACCTGTGAAGAAAACCTGCAGTTTAGAATTTATAGATATTTGAAGCAAAATTTAGATCAACTTTAGATTATGATCATTTTTTTAAGAATGCCGTTCATAGGATATAATCCAGTTGAAAAATGTTGACACCGTGAACTAATTGAACTTGGCTAGCTTAGGAAAAGCTCACTTGTTAAAACTCAAGACTTAGAATTTGAATGAGTTTCCTTTTAGTTGCCACCATTTTGGATGAATGAGACAATGACTTTTACCCCTAAATATAAATTATAAACCCATGTTTTGATCCATTCTCTCCTTGATGAGAATGGCTATGCAGTTATATTTCATATTCTAATTTTCTTTATATAGACATTTTGTAACCAACTCGGTTGTGTTCATGGGATGGAGTTTCAAAAGGTCTTTTTTTTAGCAGTTTAATAACTTCCAAATTGTTTATTTTTAGTGCTAGGTATCATGACTCTTGTGGGAGGCATGAGGCTCTTCCAAACTCCACAGTATTAGCATGGTTTTCTAAGGTCAATCTTACAACATCCTGCAGAATGTGTGTTTTGGCCTTCATTTTTTTGCTCCTCTTTTTGTGCTGGCACAAGATTTCGTATGAATTATTTTCTATTAAATGTTGAGATTGCTTTTCACTGCAGGCTGCCATTGATGAAATATTTTCGTAATCTTTCAGGCCAAGGTTCAAAAGTCTTGTCAAGAGAAGTGTAATTTTGTGGTTTGGCTAAACCAGTTGAAAATGATGATTATCTTCTGGAATTTTTTTTTTTTTTGCCTTTTTATGTTTATTATGGGCATTTTTGCAATGTGATGTTTATTGATTAATGTTGTCATATTCTTGTTGTGCTAAATTTCTACTGTCACAAACCAATGATAGTTACCAAGGATGTTCTTAAGTGTGTTGAGATATAATTTACCATTTGATCAATACCTGAGCTTTGTTATTTTTGGGTTCTACTAACTCAGGGATCTCTTCCATGTTGCCTTGCCTTGCCATGTTTTAAACTTGAGGTCAACCCATGTTCAAAAACTTGACATGGTTGGGAAGTTTATGCGATTGCACACCCTAAATTTGGATTTTTGTACTTCGCTCACTACTTTGCAAAAGGACTGCTTTCCTTGCATACCAAAACTGATGTGTCTATCAATGTGTGAGAGAAGAGTTGCTAATCTCTGGACGACAACAGTTCTAGCAAAACTTGCTTCTTTGTTGAAATTACGGTTCCAAGATTGTTTGTGTTGCAAGGATACTGGACCATGCCAGTCGTCATCTAGCAAGAAAGAAAAGCCTGAGAACAAGTGGCCTCGTTCAAATGTGGTAAATATCTGTTCATAAAGTGAGGAACTCTCTGTTGTTACGGAATGTGATTCATTGCAAACAAACTTCTCTTGCTGATGAGACATCTTTCTCTCCAAGAATCATTTATGGTACCTGAAGTTGACAGAGCAACTGATGATTTATCAGAAGTTGATGAAGCCAAACTTTCAGGTTACCTTCAAAACCTATTGGAAGCATCGCCCCTTCCCCTTCCTAATTTGTTTCAACAGTCGAAACAGAAAAATGATGTGAGAAGTGCAGATTTCTTCATAATTATAGTCTGCATAACAGGTTTCTTGTGGCAAATTGCAGATACAGGACAATGACGAACATCCTTTACATGTGCAGAAGCAGCCTCGGAAGAATGTTTCTGGTACATTGAGTAAAGATATTTGGCATCATCCTTCACCCAAGTGCTTTGACAGACAGTATTGCTTCCTTGCCTCATTTAGAAGTATTAGATAATCCGATTTAAAAGACAATTTTTCAGTCATGTTCAGTGTCTTTGGCCACTTCTTGGCAGCCTCTCTACGGCCAACTTCGAAGCAGATCATCAAGGTTGTAGTTCTTGTATGACCGGCTTTTCCAATCGTTGACTATAGTAAAGTTCATTAAGATTTTGCTTATCATTGGGCTCTTCTGGAGGTCAGTCTGCTTGCTTCTAGTCACTATGCTGATGAATCTTCTCATGGTCTTCATCCTTCCTGTGATCTTGCAGGTTGATCTTTGGATTGGATCTGTTGAAGTGTACCACGTACATGATTATTAGTCCTCAACCTAAAGAAAACGTACATTATCATGTATATCTAATTATGTCTGGTCATGATTTTAACGAGTGATGTGTGTTAAGATCATTGTAGCTCTGATTCTACTTGTTAGGTCAAAATATTCTAATTTAATCACATCAATAGAAACGAAATTAAATAATCAATCAATTACACAAAAAATAATAATTTAATATGACTTAATCCAATCGATATATATTCACAAATGAAAAACAAGATCTACTACTTATAAAGAATTACAAAATATACAATTAAATCAATCCCACTCAATTAATACTTATAGATCATCTCAATCTCTTTTAATCTTATGAAATATTCTCAATCCAAATAAACATATAACAATATACACTCATGTACCTATACTTATGTGGACTCTCATAATCTCCTTTAATTCAATCACAAATATTAAAATATACACACTTATAAGACGTAAATCTCTAATAGTCTTATGGGTGTCTATTCCATAAAACTCTATAACTTTGTTATATCTTTTTTTCATACATAACCCTGTAGAAATTCTATCTATTTATAAGCATATAAGTTTGCCTATTAAAAATATTTTTTTCTCTTAAAATTCTTCTTCTGTAAATCAAACTTACCTATTAAAAAAATTTTTTTCTGTTAAAATTTTTTTTTACAAGTCTTCTTATCAATCAAGTAATATTTAGCCAATCTCAAATAAATCTCTTATGGGATTTGAATCACTATTTCTAACAATCTCCACATTGACTCAAATTTCATTAAATCATCTATTTTTATGCTAGACATGCTTGACTCCATCTACAATGAAAGTCTTGTGACAATTTTTTTATGTGTTTTCACGCTTCATGCAAATCAATTTATCAAAACATGAATTCGAATTTTTCACTTGAATCGAGCTTTTCTAAACTATCATTTTTTCATATCTCGAATATTTAGCTTTTTTCACGTCTTAAACATTCACCTTTAATATCACTTGTTAGGATTACTATAGTTTTGATATCACTTGTTAAGCCAAAAGGATCCAATATAATCATACCAATCGAAGTAAAATCAATCAATTAAACAAGAGACAATAATTTAATATAATTCGATCCAATCGACTTACATTAACGGATGAAAAATAAGATCCATTAGTTGTAAAAAATTATAAATATACAATCAAATCAATCTCATTCATATTTTCTAGTTCTATAGAGTATTTTCAACTTAAACAAATACATACCCATATACACTTTTACACCCATATTTATATGAATCCTCTTAATCTTTTTTAATCCACTCATAAACATTTAAATATATACACTTATAAGACATAAATCTCTAATAATCTTATGAGATGTCTATTGTATAAAATTTTATAACTCTTTTAGATTTTTTTTCATACCAAATCTTATAAAAATTTTATCTATTTATAAGTATACAAGTTTATCTATTAAAAGTTTTTTTTCTCTTAAATTTTTTTTCTGCAAGTTAAATTTATCTATTAAAAATTTTTCTCTTAAAATTTTTTTTTCGTAAATTTTTTTATCCATCAAATAATATTTAATCAATTCTAAATAAAATTTTTATAAAATTTAAGTTATTATTTTTAACAATACAAAGCAAAAAAATAAAATTATTGTTGACTACGCAGAAAAAGTTTTGAACCTTTGCTTTGTAATATATGATTTATATATAGCAAGTGCTATTTGTGCATTCATTACTGTAGTTTTATCTGACTTCCGAGCCTGAGTCCAATTCAGAAGCAATCAGCACAAATTAATTATTATTCAAAGCACCTGCAGTTTGCTATGTTGAAGATAAACTTTGGGTAAGTGGAGAAAACCAAAGTTCAAACCCCACCAATTATATCCTCATAACTTGACAGCTAAGTTCTAGTGGTTATAATTTGATTTCTTTTATAATTAATCGGGTATCATTCAAGCTTTTGTTTTGCTGTGCCTGGAGATAAACATAGGAGTACTGGTCGGAATTCGACACAATGAAAAGATTGCATTAATACAAGTACACGGATGATATTTATTTTTTATCAAATTCGTTTAAAATATAAAAATTATAAAATTATAATTTATATTATTAAATTAAATATAAAATTTATTTTTCGTAATTTTTCTCACATTTATTTATAATTTTTGTCGGTTTTAAATTATATCATTTTTTATATTATTTTTATGTTAAATCTAAAATTACTGGGTCATGAACTTGATAATGTAATGTGAAGGGTAAGTATAACGTCTCGTTAATAACCTAACAATGATGCATAATTGGAGATAAATTAATTAAGGTCGTTTTCATTAATTAATTATATTTCTTCAAGCAAATAAATGACTGAGATTCTGAACGCCAGCTGGTTATAGGGTAGCTATAGTTGCTCAGAGGTCATACCTGGGAGAGTGCATAAATTTCTATCCAACAGCTCCAAGTCAAGTCAAAAGTGATAGACTTGTTGACAAACCTTTCATTATTTGTCAGTGCCTTCCTTCACCCTTTCCGGGAGACAGTTGCTTCATCGGGCATTGAGGTGACAACCCATTACCAAACCTTAATCAGGAGATCAGAACATGGAAAATAAACAAGTTAGATAAGATTCGACACAGCCTGTTGTTTGCCACTATGATATTTACTTCTTTTTGTGGTCTTTCATGTATATGTAGTTTTTTCATATATTTCTTCCCTGGATATATATATAATTTCTCAAGCTGGATACAAAAAAATTAGTGCAAATTGGGCCAGTTGATAAAGTTGAACAGCCTGGAATCCTCAAAGAACACATTGTTATTGATGGGGTGTTGACTAAGTCCACGAACTGTTCAAATGGGTTTTTATGCATGCAAGATTGGAAAAACCATTGATGACTTGCTAATTACCACTCATAGTCACAATTTGTCTTTGAAATGTACATGAACATGCATAAATTCATATATTATCAGAAACAAATACATATGTCAATGTTCCTGTTGTTTACAAAGATGAACAAAATGTATTTTATATTGAAATGTTGGTATTATTTTATTTTGGAAATACTAGTAGTGTTATGGTGATAATTTTATCATATTTTGTAGTGATTTTCTTTCCAGCAGTTGCAACTGGGGAATCTGCCAGAGAACTAGTAAGTAACTACGGAATCTCCAATTTCTAGATGGTACAATATTAAACCTGGCTGTGGCTGCTGGCTGGACAAACACAAAATCTTCAACCTTTGACCTCAGCTGATAATGCCTCATGCATTATCAAAATAAGGACTAGCCTTCCAGTCTGTACCAAAGCTGTACACACGTGCATTTCCCTTCCTTCTTTTTTTTTTTTTAAATTCTTTTTTAAATATGTTCTTTTCTTTCCATCACTCAGAAGTCAGAAATGACAAAAAGCCTCTCTGTCTTTCTATAAATACCTTTGCAAAATCTCACAAATCCGTCAGCACTCAGCATTTCGAGCTCCAGGATCTCTTTAGCTGCCCCTTTTCCATCCAGAGCAAGCCACATACATTCACATTATCTTAGTGTTTTTCTCTACCTTGCACTTTGCTACCATCCCTCTCTCTCTCTCTCTCACACACACACCAAAAAATAAAATAAAAATGAAGCTTTTATTTCCAACTTTGTTGTTCGTTTCCCTGGTATTGAGCTCATTATTTGTCCAACTCTCCTTTGCCCGACCTATAGAACCCCTTCCCACACCTGCTTCACCTGCTCCACCTGCTTCTCTTCCTATAGAACCCTTTCCCACGCCTGCTTCACCTCCTCCACCTGCTTCTCTTCCTCCACCAGGTAATGTTCTTTTTTAATTAATTACTAGTCTTTTACTATAAATGCATGCATTAATATATATATATATTTATAAAAAAAGGTTAGCATGCCAACAGGACGGACGTAAATATAAATAGTTAAACTAATGTTATCTTTTAAAACTAATTGTATAAACATTTTGATTCATTTTAACATTAATATATTGTCATGTGTACTAAAGACTAGTGTAGTACAAAATAAAAATTCATATTTTTTTGGGGTCCCATTCTAAGAATGAAATTAATTGATTTTTTTTTTATGTGACAAAATTAGGTTTCTGTGATAGCAAGTGTGAGGACAGGTGTTCCAACGCTGGAGAGAAAGACCGGTGCTTGAAGTATTGTGGGATATGCTGCCAAGAATGTAACTGTGTTCCTTCAGGGACGTATGGCAACAAGTCCGAATGCCCTTGCTATCAAGACAAGTTGAACTCCAAGGGCCAGCCCAAGTGCCCTTAACTATTCATCAAAATATTGCATGCACCGTCATCTGCTACATTTGCCTGTATCACTTCAGTTTATGTCTTCATTTTTCTTTCATTGTCTGCCTTCCAAGAGTTCTGATGCTCTCGCTCAGTTCTTGGGAAGGTATATTTATTTATAATTCCTTAAAATAAATGTGCCTTGACTTTGTTCATTCAACAATATAATAATACAGTCTATTCATGAAAACAAAATGTCTATTTCTTAGATTTGTTTGGTTACTATTTTTGTCATTTTTCCAATCAAAATATAAAAACAAAAGAATATTTTAAAGTATTAAAAATTGATTGCTTGATATTTTAAAATAAACTAATTATATTTAAAAAAAAAAAAAACTTGTGATCTCAATGCAGCTGCAGTGGCCCAGTCAAGATCATATAGCAATACAAAAAAATGTTGATGTCATCGGTTTCATACAAAATTGTAATTTACAAACCTAGCGTCCGTGGTCGCTGAGTTAATTTATTTAGCACTTTAATCAAATATTAAAATTATATATTATAATTCTTATAAAAATTAAATATAAAATAGATATTTAAAATTTTATTAAATATTAAATTCAATCATTTTTATATTTGTTTATCACATTATTATATCATATTTAAATTTATTCTTATGGCATCTACACATTCTATATATACATATTGTTAACCCAAGAAGTCAACTACCGGCACATTTTATCTCATTTCTGAAACTACATTGGATTTCATTTTTTCCCCTTTTTTTTTTTTTTTGTTAAATCTCACTGGTAGATTATACAATTAAACCAATCATTTTTGCTTAATAAACTCGACCCTTAACTCTTCAAATCTAAATGTGAAAATTTTAAATGGATTGAGACTCGATCGGATAGCACATGACCAAATTAAACAAAGTAATATCTCCACACTGAATGTCGTGTACTTTGAACAACGCACTGAACAACTATGTTGCCATCAGGCTTGAAACATGAAACAAGAAGACAGGAGAAATAGAAACTGAGCATGTACATAGATATATAATCAGAGCTTGAAAAGTTTACCACTGCTCCTCCACAAGTTGTTCTGTACAGATACAAAAACCCCAACTTAATAAATTTAGCTAACCTGAGGATCTCCGACTCCATCTACGTGAGCCTGGTTTTCGTTTCCCCTTCTTCCTTTTGTTATTAGGACCCTTTGACTTGAAAGTTAGAGATAACTTCACATTTGGTTGAACGCAAGGGTTTCTAGGAAGGTCATCTCTAGGAGCAAGCACAGTAAAAACAGTCTTAGGCTTTTTAATTGGTATCTGCGGGTCCTATGCCTGCTGAGTTAAACCACTTCGAATATTATGCAACTCTTCCTTGGCAGCCTGGTTGTGTATCAAAATATCATCCTCAGTCTGCAGATATAATGAAAGTCAGTTGCATTATAAATGAAAAAAACAGAATCCTGATTACAGAAAAACAGGGATCATAGAATAGTGTGAAATATTAACCAAACAAGTCAAGAGGGAATAACAAGAAAAGAAGGCAAAGGCAAGGAGAATATTTTTCTCATTTCATATTAGATGTGCAAGCAAAAAACATTCTTTCGTAGGCATTTGTCATGGATAAACAAAACTAATATTTTAGCAAGATCAGCATTAGTAGAAGCAAATAATAAAACCAAAAATCTAATTACAAGTAAAATCCTTTGTTATCCTCCAATATGGCCATAAGCAAGAGCGAAGGATTAAAGTGTAAAACTTAAAAGAAGAGAAAAATTGTTAGCGATAGAAAATGATGGAAGAGAAAACTTAAAAGATCAAGAAGAAGAAGAAAATGTCAAAAAAAAAAAAATGGAAAACTCACATTTTCATAAGAAATCCCAGCAAGATGGCCTGTGCCCTCAATCATATTAGGAAAAGACGTCATCTCTCCATGACTTGAAACTGCAGTTCCAGGCATAAAAATATCTCGCATGTTACACTCAGATAGATGCTGGGATGAAATATATTGAGATTTAACAGGGATTCTATCTCCATTCACTGGTTAATGCATTGCATGGCACAGGTGAACTCAACATATAAATTGAAGCAAACTTTCGAGGACTTCATAACTAGATTTCTGAAAATGAACGTCAGAAATTGGAATGTGGAATGTGGCTCTAAGTCGACGGTTTGATACATTTAAGCGGGGTTAAAGGACGCGCCGCTGAGGAAGGTGGAGCTGGTCCATTTAGTTTTTTGAAAAATTGCCAACGGATCTCGAGGTTATAAACAAATAGACAAAAAAAATCTGATGCCAAAATATTAGAGGGACAGCGAAAAATGACTCAATCGAAGTCAATAATTACAATCCGTGCATTTTTTATACATAAAACTATTTCAGCTCATAATTTAGTTTTATTCGATTAATTGATTAATTATTAAATTAATTTTAATTAATTATCAAATAATTTTAATTTTTTTAATTTTTGATTAATTTAATTAAAATATTATATAATTTATACATATAATTATTCATTTCATTTCAAATTATTAAAAATTTTAATGTAATATTTGAATATTTTTATTAAATAAATTTATTTAGTTTGTTTCAAAAAATAAAATAAAATTTAATATATTTTATTATTTGATTAATCAAAAAATTAATAAAATTTATTGAATTAATTTCAATTGGTTAATTTTTAAAATTAAGAAATTGAATTTGATTATAAAATAAAAAAAATAATTTAATTAATTTAATTTTAAATAATTTAATTTAAAATTGATCAAATTGAGCGAATGAACATTTTTAATCGAATTCATTATTAATCGGTTTTATAACTTATATTTATATAAATTATTGAATTTTTTTGGGAAAAAAAAAATTACAGAGTGGAGCAGAGACAATCAAGAGCGTGCAGAAGATAATTGGAGGATTGGCATTGGGATGGGCAACCATTGCTTTGATCTTCACATTTGATGATTTACTATTTATTTATTTTACTTCATTTTTTTTCCTTTTAAATTCTACTTGCATAATGGTGTGGTTTTATCCATTCGGATTTTACCACATTTGCTTTTTTAATTCTTTGGGAAAAGTTTGAAAGGGGGGAGATTGTTTTTTTCTTATTTTTTTGGTCTAATTCCGCTATTTTATTCCTTTTTGGACTATTTGTTTTTTAGGATATGCTTTTCTTTCCTATCCTTTGATTCCTTTCTTCCATTCCTATTTAGTAATTTTCTTTTTCTTTTTGGTCCTTGGCTTTACTATTGATTTATTCTTTCGTTATATTTCTAATAAATCACAAATTGTTTAGTATGTTTTATCGTCATTCTAATTATTGTGGTCGGCTTGTTTTTGATAATTTAAGTGAATTTATAATTCCAACTTGGGTTCAAGTTAAAATTAATTAATTGTAAATAAAGAGATTCAATCTATAACTTAAAATCAATTGATTGTAAGTGAAAAAATTTAATTTAAATATAAAATTAAAAAATTTATATATTTATTAAACGTGAAATAACATCATTTTAATAAGTTTTTATTTTGTGTAGATGGAGATGAAAAAAATATGTTATGTAATAGATTTAGAAATGATAATAGAAAAAAAAATTCATATAAGTGGGCAACAAAAAAAAATTTGGTTCTCTATCATATGTAAATAAAGATAAAAAAATTTATCACATGACAAATTAAAAAAAATAATAAAAAAATTTTAAATCTAATATCATATTAAATATTTTATTTAAAATTAATTAATAATAAATGAAAGAATTTACCTTGAATATAAAATCCGATCTAAATAAAAAATTATAAAACTTAAAATATTTATTAGATATAAAATAATATCACTTTAATATACCCATCAAGCATTTGTGTGTTTATTAACATACCCAATGAGTTGGCTTACGTTTCTTCTTCGATTTCATCTCAAAAAATCCTTATTCTTCGCTTCTTATCTTTAAAACAAAAAAAAAAAAAAAAAAAGAAAGAAAAATCCTACAGTTTGAATTGAAAAAGTATAGGGAAGTTGGTATTACCCTGGGGTGAGCATTCATTTACGATAGTTAACCAACTCATGAGATGCAGCCTAAATTACGTTGACAGCTCGGCACTAAAGTCTCTCCACCTATTCGTTAAAGAAGGATCATTGTCCTTTGTCATTGAATAAATTCTTTAAGAAAATAAAGTTTCCGACTAACGTACTCCACAGGCATTTCCTGCTTCAGAAGCTTTTTTTTTTTGTCTAGAATTCATCCACTTTTTTTTGTTTTTGGGTTTGGGTTGTCGATACTAAAGTCTCTCCACAGCCATTATCGATTATCAACCAATGGTGAAAAACAAAGTCATTCTTTTCTGCAAACAAGTAGTTGCGGTACTGTTTATCAAGTGCCTAAAAAAAAAAGTGATTTTATGCTTCCTGCGACTGTAAAATAAATGGTACTACTTTTTACTTGATATATAAGTCCATATTATTCGAAGATGCTTTCACTTTTAGAGAACCATTCTCGAAAAGATTTGATAAAATGATTACATTTTTATTGAGAAAAATTATTCAAATTTAATTTTTTAAACATGATGATTTAAAAAATGTTGAACCCAAAGTTGAACTTAGGTGAAATGGCAGGCCCAAAGTTGAACCCAGGAGCGGGTTTGATTGACCCATTTTACGCCCAAGAATGAGCCAGAGACGTCAGAATTGGACCCACAAAAGTTGAAATATCACGTTCTGCCGAAGCTAACTGACAAACGTCCGAATCGATGCGAACAGAGCAAATAGTAGTAGTAACATGGTTTTACCGTATTAATAAGTGGTTGAATCAATTAATCAAGATTAATTTTTATTGATAAAAAATTTTAAATTTGAATTTTATTGATAATTATTTATTGAAATTATTTTAAATATAAAATTTATAATTATTTATTTTAAATTATCAGATATAATACGTTTTATCTTTAAAATTGAACAAATCCTTTACGTTGGATCTTTCTTATAAAAAAAAAAAAAATCGGTGCTTCTGCTTACCCTAGACATATGTTTCTGAGACAACAATTCACTTATACACAGTGATATTTCCAGTTTACTGATTTGGTAAACTTTTCTTGCTGGATTTCTGTTTTCTTTCTTCTTTTTTTTTTTCCAGGTTAATTGTTCAATTAATTGCTTTTGCTGTGTTTAGTTGTTTTTGAGAACATGTAATTATGATGGACTGATTAAAAACAGAGTTGACCTGTGAAGAAAGCCTGCAGTTAGAATTTATAGATAGTTGAAGCAAAATTTAGAGCAACTTTAGATTATGATCATTTTTTTAAGAATGCCGTTCATAGGATTTAATCCAGTTGAAAAATGTTGACACTGTAAACTAATTGAACTTGGCTAGATTAGGAAAAGCTCACTTGTTAAAACTCAGACTTAGAATTTGAACGAGTTTCCTTTTAGTTGTCACTAGAGTCGGCAACTTAATCCGTCTTTAGTGGGTTTCGATTCGACCCAATCCAATAAAATTAAATTTTTTTAAATTGGATTTTGGATTAGATCAAATACGTTATTGTTAAGAAAAAGTTGAGGTTGAGTTCGGGTTCGGGTTTTAAGCAAAATTGACACGATCTGATATTTATATAAAAATTAATATTTTATTTATATATATTTATATAATTATATATTTAAATATTTATATTTAAAAAATAATATTTTATTAATTTTGAATCGAATCAAATTGAGTACGATTTATATAATATCGGATCAAGTCGAAATTTGATATAAAAAATTTTTTTAAAAAATTTCGAGTCGGATCGAGTTTAGGTCGAGCAAAAACCCGCCCCGACCCTAGTTGCCACCATTTTGGATGGGTGAGACAATGACTTTTACCCCTAAATATAAATTATAAACCCATGTTATGATCCATTCTCTCCTTGATGAGAATGGTTATGCAGTTATACTTCATATTCCAATTTTCTTTATATAGACATTTTGTAACCAACTCTGTTGTGTTCATGCGATGGAGTTTCGAAAGGTCCTTTTTTTTAGCACTTTAATAACTTCCAAATTGTTTATTTTTGGTGCTAGGTATCATGACTCTTGTGGGAGGCATGAGGCTCTTCCAAACTCCACAGTACTAGCATGGTTTTCTAAGGTCAATCTTCCAACATCCTGCAGAATGTGTGTGTTTTGGCCTTCATTTTTTGCTCCTCTTTTTGTGCTGGTACAAGATTTCGTATGAATTATTTTCTATTAAATGTTGAGATTGCTTTTCGCTGCAGGCTGCCATTGATGAATATTTTCGTAATCTTTCAGGCCAAGGTTCAAAAGTCTTGTCAAGGGAAGTGTAATTTTGTGGTTTGGCTAAACCAGTTGAAAATGATGATTATCCTGTGGATTTTTTTTTTTTGCCCTTTTATGTTTATTATGGACATTTTTGCAATGTGATGTTTATTGATTAATGTTGTCATATTCTTGTTGTGCTAAATTTCTACTGTCACAAACCAATGATAGTTACCAAGGATGTTCTTAAGTGTGTTGAGATATAATTTACCATTTGATCAATACTTGAACTTTATTATTTTTGGGTTCTACTAACTCAGGGATCTCTTCCACGTTGCCTTGCCTTGCCATGTTTTAAACTTGAGGTCAACCCATGTTCGAAAACTTGACATGGTTGGGAAGTTATGCGATTGCACACCCTAAATTTGGATTTTTGTACTTCACTCACTACTTTGCAAAAGGACTGCTTTCCTTGCATACCAAAACTGATGTGTCTATCAATGTGTGAGAGAAGAGTTGATAATCTCTGGACGACAACAGTTCTAGCAAAACTTGCTTCTTTGTTGGAATTACAGTTCCAAGATTGTTTGTGTTGCAAGGATACTGGACCATGCCAGTCGTCATCTAGCAAGAAAGAAAAGCCTGAGAACAAGTGGCCTCGTTCAAATGTGGTAAATATCTGTTCATACAGTGAGGAACTCTCTGTTGTTACGGAATGTGATTCATTGCAAAAAACTTCTCTTGCTGATGAGACATCCTTTCTCTCCAAGAATCATTTATGGTACCTGAAGTTGACAGAGCAACTGATGATTCATCAGAAGTTGATGAAGCCAAACTTTCAGGTTACCTTCAAAACCTATTGGAAGCATCACCCCTTCCCCTTCCTAATTTGTTTCAACAGTCGAAACAGAAAAATGATGTGAGAAGTGCAGATTTCTTCATAATTGTAGTCTGCATAACAGGTTTCTTCTGGCAAATTGCAGATACAGGTCAATGACGAACATCCTTTACATGTGCAGAAGCATCCTTCGAAGAATGTTTCTGGTAACTTGAATAAAGATATTTGGCATCATCCTTCGCCCATGTGCTTTGACAGACAGTATTGCTTCCTTGCCTCATTTAGAAGTATTAGATAATCAGATTTAAAAGCCAATTTTTTAATCATGTTCAGTGTCTTTGGCCTCTTCTTGGCAGCCTCTCTGCGGCCAACTTCGAAGCAGATCATCAAGGTTGTAGTTCTTGTATGACCTGCTTTTCCAGTCGATGACTATACTAAAGTTCATTAAGATTTTGCTTATCATTGGGCTTTTTTGTGGGTCAACCTGCTTGCTTCTAGTCACTATGCTGATGAATCTTCTCATGGTCTTCATCCTTCCTCTGATCTTGGAGGTTGATCTTTGGATTGGATCTGTTAAAGTGTTCCACGTACATGATTATCAGTCCTCAAACCAAAGAAAACGTACATTATCATGTATATCTAATTATGTCTTGTCATGATTTTAACAAGTGATGTGAGGCAAAAAAATAAAATTGTTGTTGTCTATGCAGCAAAAGTTTTCACCCTTTGTTTTGTAAATATACGATTTATATAGAGCAAGTACTCTCTGTGTATTCATTACTGTAGTTTTATCTGACTTCCGAGCCTGATTCCAATTCAGAAGCAATCAACACAAATTAATTATTATTCAAAGCACATGTGGTTTGCTACGTTGAAGATAAAATTTGGGCAAGTGGAGAAAACCAAAGTTCAAATCCCACCAATTATATCCTCGTAACTTGACAGCTAAGTTCTAGTGGTTATAATTTGATTTCTTTTATAATTAATCGGGTAGCATTCAAGTTTTTGTTTTTGAACATATGAGCAGTGGTCAGAATTTGACACTCTGAAAAGATTGTATGAAATTGTAGTCATGATGTCGATAATACGTATAAATGTGTGATGTCTTATTTTATCAAATTTGTTTAAAATATAAAAATTATTATATTATAATTTTTAACAATAAGTCAAACATGAAATTTATTTTTTTTATTTTTATTATATATAATTTTGTCGGTTTTAAATTATATCATTTTTATATATTTTCATATTATTTTTATGTTATATCTAAATTTACTGGGTCATGAACTGATAATGTAATGTGAAGGATAAGTATAACATCTAGTTAATAACCTAACAATGATGCATAATTGGAGATAAATTAATTAAGGTCGTTTTCATTAATTAATTAATTATGTTTCTTCGAACTAATAAATGACTGAGATTCTGGGTATAGGGTAGCTACTAGCTAGTTGCTCCGAGGCCATAACCGGGAGTGTGCATAAATTTATATCCAACAGCGCCAAGTCAAGTCAAAAGTGATACACTTGTTGACAAAGCTTTCGTCATTTATCAGTGCCTTCACCTTTCCGGGAGACAGTTGCTTCATTGGGCATTGAGGTGACAACACATTACCAAACCTTAATCAAGAGATCAAAACATGGAAAATGTACAAGTTAGATAAGATTCGACACAGCCTGTTGTTTTCCACTTTAATAGTTACTTCTTTTTGTGGTCTTTCATGTATCTGTAGTTTCTTCAGATATTTCTTCCCTGGATATATATAATTTCTCAAGCTGGATACAAAAAAAATTAGTGCAAATTGGGCCAGTTGATAAAGTCGAACAGCCTGGAATCCTCGAAGAACACATTGTTATTGATGGGGTATTGACTTAGTCGAAGAACTGTTCAAATGGGTTTAATGCATGCATGGTTAGAAAAACCATTGATGGCTTGCTAATTACTACTCATAGTCACAATTTGCCTTTGAAATGTACATGTACATGCATAAATTCATATATTATGAGAAACAAATACATATTTCAATGTTCCAGTTGTTTACAAAGATGAACAAAATGTATTTTATATTGAAATGTTGGTATTATTTTCTTTTGGAAATACTAGTAGTGTTATGGTGATAATTTTATCATATTTTGTAATGATTTTCTTTCCAGCAGTTGTAACTGGGGAATCTGCAAGAGAACTAGTAGTAATTAGGGAATCTGCAATTTCTAGCTAGTACAATATTAAACCTGGCTGTGGCTGCTGGCTGGACAAACACAAAATCTTCAACCTTTGACCTCAGCTGATAAATGCCTCATGCATTATCAAAATAAGGACTAGCCTTCCAGTCTGTACCAAAGCTGTACACAGCGCATTTCCCTTCCTTTTTTTTTAAATTCTTTTTTAAATATGTTCTCTTCTTTCCGTCACTCAGAAGTCAGAAATGACAAAAAGCCTCTCTGTCTTTCTATAAATACTTTGCAAAATCGCACAAATCTGTCAGCACTCAGCATTTCGAGCTCCAGGACCTCTTTAGCTACCCCTTTTCCATCCAGAGCAAGCCACATACATTCACATTATTTTAGTGTTTTTCTCTACCTTGCCCTTTGCTACCATCCCTCTCTCTCACACACACACACACACCAAAAAAAAAAAAATGAAGCTTTTATTTTCAACTTTGTTGTTCGTTTCCCTGGTTTTGAGCTCATCATTTGTCCAACTCTCCTTTGCCCGATCTATAGAACCCTTTCCCACGGCTGCTTCACCTGCTCCACCCGCTTCTCTTCCTCCACCAGGTAATGTTCTTTATTAATTAATTACTAGTCTTTTACTATAAATGCATGCATTAATATATATTTTTTTATAAAAAAATTAGCAATTAGTGATAACAACAGGTCGGATCAGGATAAATTTTTACTCTTTTCGAATTCGATCCGATTTTTAAACATATAAAACCCGTACCTGTACCAGATCCGATAAATTTTTTATTTTTAACACCTAAACCCGATCCGATCCGATATTATATAAAATCAAATCCGATCCGACTCTATCTGAAATTAATAAAATATTATTTTAAATATAAATATAAAATTAAATATATATAAAAGATATAAAATTAAATAAATAATTAAAAAAATAATTTTTTTTATATATATCGGATCGGATAGGATCGAGTTTACCTAAAACCCGACTTTAACCCGAACTCGAAATTTCTTTATGTTACACGACCCTATCCGACTCGATACTTAATTTAAAAAAAAAAAAAACCGACCTTAAGGGGTAGGGTCGGATCAAAATCCGTAGGTTTCGACTATTTTTGCCTTTAGCATGCCAATACGATGGACGTAACGAATTTTGTCTTTTAAAAATAATTGTATAAATATTTTGATTCATTTTTAACATTAATATATTGTCATATGTACTAAAGCCTAGTGTAGTACAAAATAAAAATTCATATGTTTTTTGGGGTCCCATTCTAATAATGAAATTAATTGGTTTTTTTTTTTTTTTGTGTGACAAAATTAGGTTTCTGTGATAGCAAGTGTGAGGACAGGTGTTCCCAGGCTGGAGAGAAAGACCGGTGCTTGAAGTATTGTGGGATATGCTGCCAAGAATGTAACTGTGTTCCTTCAGGGACGTATGGCAACAAGTCCGAATGCCCTTGCTATCAAGACAAGTTGAACTCCAAGGGCCAGCCCAAGTGCCCTTAACTATTCATCAAAATATTGCATGCACCGTCATCTGCTACATTTGCCTGTATCACTTCAGTTTATGTCTTCGTTTTTCTTTCATTGTCTGCCTTCCAAGAGTTCTGGTGCTCTCGCTCACTTCTTGGGAAGGCATATTTATTTATAATTCCTTAAAATAAATGTGCCATGACTTTGTTCATTCAACAATATAATCTATTCATGAAAACAAAATGTCTATTTTTCTAATAAAAATACAAAAGCAAAAAAATATTTGTTTGGTTACTATTTTTGTCATTGTTCTAATCAAAATACAAAAACAAAAGAATATTTTAAAGAATTATAAATTGATTGCATGATATTTTAAAATATACTAATTATAGTTAAAAAAAATTTGTGATCTCAATGCTTGCCCCGGTGGCCCAGTCAAGCTCATATAGCAATATAAAAAACATGATGATGTACTCGGTTTTATTTAAAATTGTAATTTTACGATCACGAGAATTTATGTATTCGAGTTCATTTATTTAGTATGTTAGTCAAATATAAAAATTATATATTATAATTTACATTAAAATATTAAATACAAAACAAAATTTTTAAATTTTATCAAATTTATATATAATTTTTATTAAAATATTAAATATGATCATTTTCATTTTTTTATCATATTTAAAATTATTGTTATGACATCTACACATTCTATATATGCATATTGTTAACCCGATAAGTCAACTCATTTCTGAAACTATATTGAATTTCATTTTCCTTTTTTTTTTTTTTTAAATCTCACTGGTAGACTATACAATTAAACCAATCACTTTGCTTAATAAACTCGACGCTTCGCTCTTCAAATCTAAATGTGAAAATTTTAAATGGATTGAGACTCGATCGGATAGTACATCACCAAATTAAACAAAGTAATAACTCCACACTGAATGTCATGTACTTTGAACAATGCAAAGCTTCTATACTGAACAACCATGTTGCCATCAGGCTTGAAACGTGAAACAAGAAGATAGGAGAATAGACGCTGAGCATGTACATGGATATAATTAGAGCTGGAAAAGTTTACTACTGCTCTTCCACAAGTTGTTCTGTACAGATACAAAGACCCAACTTAAAAAATTTGGCTAACCTGAGGATCTCCGACTCCATCTACGTGAGCCTGGTTTTCGTTTCCCCCTCTTCCTTTTGTTATTAGGACCCTTTGACTTGGAAGTTAGAGATAACTTCACATTTGGTTGAACAAAAGGGTTTCTAGGGAGGTCATCTCCAGGAGCAAGAACAGTAGAAACAGTCTCAGGCTTTTTAATCGGTATCTGCGGCTCCTTTGCCTGCTGAGTTAAACCACTTCGAAACTTATGCAGCTCTTCCTTGGCAGCCTGGTTGTGTATCAAAATATCATCCTCAGTCTGACAGATATAGTGAAGGTCAGTTGCATTATAAATGAAAAAAACAGAATCCTGATTACAGAAAAACAGGGATCATAGAATTGCGTGAAATATTAACCAAATGCGTCAAGAGGGGATAACAAGAAAAGACGGCAAAGGCAAGGAGATTATTTTTCTCATTTCATATTAGATGTGCAAGCAAAAAACCGTCTTTCATAGTCATTAGTCATAGATAAACAAAACTATCACTTTAGCAAGATCATTTTAATAGAAGCAACTAATAAAACAAAAAGTCTATAATCCTTTGTTATCCTCCAATATGGCCATAAGCAATAGCAAAGGATTAAAGTGTAAAACTTAAAAGAAGAGAAAAATAGTTAGCAATAGAAAATGATGGAAGAGAAAAACTTAAAAGATCAAGAAGAAGAAAATGTCAAAAAAAAGGAAAACTCACATTTTCATAAGAAATCCCAGCAAGATGCTGACCTGTGCCCTCAATCATATTAGGAAAACGCATCACCTCTCCATGACTTGAAGCTGCAGTTCCAGGCATAAAAATATCTCCCATGTTAAACTCAGATAGATGCTGGGATGAAATATATTGAGATTTAACTGGGATTCTATCAGCACTTACCGGTTAATGCATTGCAGGGCACAGGTGAACTCAGCATATTAATGGAAGCAAACTTTCGAGGACTGTCATTCACCACCTTGTCAACTCGGGTCATTAGTTTGCGAGCTTGTGCCTGAACCAGATCAATCTTTCTAAGGATCTGATCTGACCATGCATCACTGTCTCTGAATTCAAGACATGAAAACCCATCATTAAACTCAAAGTCGTCATTGCTGTTGACCTGTTTGGTTCCTGCAGAAATTATCACATAAGAAAATGGATAAAATATCAAGTAGTGGAAGGAGAGAGTCATTTTTTCAAGCACACATCACAAAGGGTAATTTGTTGAACCTTGTTCTATTACCTACAAGCGACATAATCACCACAGCTGAGTCAAATATAATTCTTCTTACCTAAATTACCATTATCATCATCCAAAGCAGAAGTAGCAACAACAGATTTCTTACTTTCTGGAAGCAAAGAAAATATACTTATCAGATTTGAACTTGGCAAATACATATTCCATGAACAATGATCATTAACATCATACCATAATACGAGAACAGGTTATGATATGTCACATAAGATACTAAATCAGCAGTATCTTCAACTCTTTTTCTTTTTCTCCTCTTCATTACTTTCTTTCTTTGAATTTGACTAGGAAAAGGTTGTGACTTCACATCAAGTCCTTCAAATGTGAACTTTTCATATTCAAACTTCTTTCTCTGATCATATTCTGCAACTTCTCTATCATACGTCAATGCCTGAGACTTAAATTCCTTAAGCTGCAGCTCTAACCATTTACACCGCCACATTAGGGGACGTATAAACCTCCTCCAATGATCTGTCAACTTTCTCTTCCTGGAAAATTTAGGAAAGAGAAAACAAACTAAATAATGCAACATGTAGTTGGACATCAAATTGAGTAAAAACATACACTTCACAAAATGGTAAAATGGTAAATTAGTAACAGACAGTTTATTGGTTACCATTACTTTGCCAGCCAAAACAGTGGAAACAATAATTCTATCAGAAAGCATCAATATGATTTTAAGTAGTACATTTGTAGCGAAATTTTAGAAACCACCAAATTGAAAATTTTTCATTAAATATCAGTAAAATAAAATGCAAATGAGTTCTGAAAATTTTTCAAAATGAAAACTATTCTTCACATATAACCTCAGCAATTTCAAATTCCTAAAAGTAATTCTAGATTTTCAAAAAACAGGCAGAAAACTTAATAGTTGGCAATGTGGTGGAAGGATTAAGGATTAATCATCATTTATCACCAGCCAATCTACCCAGATACGTTTATAAACACAAAAATAAATAGTTCAAACGACAAAAAAAAGCACCTCATTTGAAACAATCCATCATACACTGATCCCAACGGATTCCCACCACATAATGCCGATTCAACTTCAGCATCACTTATTGCTGAATTATTCTCACGCCCTGACACCGTGCCACCAAAAGAACTCGAATTCTCAGTCGCATCCAGACATTCAGCAACAGCCAACCTATCCCCACCAGAATTTGTGAATTCAGTTATGTTAATCTCCATATCCTCATTTCCTTTGGGTGTCTTTGCTTGCCCTACTCCATACAAAGTTTCCTCACCTAAGTTGTGGTCCTCACAATTACTCGCACAATGCATAAATTTATCTTTTGAATCATAGGGCAAGCTTCCATTTTCATTATTACTCGAAACCAGGTCCATCACTGTTTTCGACTTGTCTTTTGGCTTCAACTCAGGGCCCATACTAATCATCATAAAGACTCCTTTAATTCATTATTATAAGTCAGTTAATTGCAAACTCCTGCAAATTTCACATAAATTATTTCAACATTGAAATTATAACTAAACAAATTGACATTTAAAAAAAAAACTAAAACAAGTACATGGATTTTTTTATAACCTTTGCTTCTTTTTTTCCTTCAAAAAATACACATTCATCAAAGCAGCAGAACATAAACAAGTTAATAATAAAAGAAAAAATCGATTTTTTTTCAACAAATGACAAGTTAGAACAAACCGAATGAAAAAAAAAAAAAAACTTTCGGTCAAAGGAGACCAAGGAAAAATCATCAGTGCAGAAAAACGAAAACCTTTTTATTAAAAAATGAAAACTTTACACATTGAAATCCACAAAAATCACAAAACCCTAAACCCCAGAGCAGGGAACACAGAAGAGGAAAAGAAGAACCTGGTATTCGAGTCTCTTTCCGTCTTGAACTTTGATTTGGCAGACGAGTAAGCCAAGGTCACCCGCGTGATAATGTCCGCTGCCGGTGAAGTAGACTTTTTTTTTTTTTCCTGTTTTTGAACTTATTGAAATATATTGATTCCTTATTTGGGCAGAGGCCCGACCTAATCCAGGCGTCTTCCACTTGGCTTGTTTGGGGCACTGTTAAAACTAAAATTTATTTTTATTTTTATCTTTATGAAATATAAAATACATTTTCATACCAAAATAATTTTCACTCAAAAATAATGAACCTTGAGTTCAATCTCCTTCTACCAATAAAAATAAATAAAATAAAATAAAATACATTTTCCTTCCTATTTATTTTTTAATTTCCACGACCTTTTAAAAAAAATCCAAGAAAACAAATTAGTATAATGTATTTTTAAAAAAAAAAAATCAACAACTCTATACCATTAAATCTGAAATGGAATTTTTATTTCATCAAGTATTGTTTTATATAATGAAACTAAAAAAGAAAAAGGAAATGAAAGAAGCAAGTAAATGAAATACATTTAGATTTCAAATATTTCATGATAATTAACTGTATTATAAATTTTAATTTATTGAAGAAAAAATTAACAGAAAGCCTCAAACTAATCTCATTAAAAAAATAATTAAAATACTAGCAATAAGCGTTGAATTCTTAGATTCAGTAATTTAAAATTCAATTTTTGACCAAAAAAAAATTAAGGTGTTACAGCAAAATGAAAATCAAAGTTGTACAATCAAATAGCTCATGATAAATGAAAAAGAATGGATTTTGACAGCTGATAAATCGATTAGGCGAATGCTAATGGACTTGGTTAAATAATTTATATATGAAAGAGCAGACAAAATGTAATTGGTTTCTCAAAATCATGGGAAATACATCATAAAATGCCTGCTCTTGGTTGCCTGCAAAGAAGCATAGCTTACATATCAGACTGAATATTTAGCGTTTTTAAAAACGGATCATAAATTGAATCATGAACATCACCAGAAAACAGATTATTATCGTTTGCATCGCCCAGTCGCTGCAAAGAGAACAGACTCACATGAAAAAATTCTTTCCTAATCACATTATTCACATTAAAAAAAGTTTACAAGAGGACTCAATCAAATCTCCACAAGTTCCTATGTCTTCTCTACAACAACCCTGTATCCAGCTCAAAAAACTTCACATGCATTATTTGCAATATCAAATGTATACACACTGTATAGACCCAAAACCTTGGATGGCAATGAACGTTGTTTTCCTACTCTCAGCCTCTTCCAGCATTACCATGTCGATGGTTTCTGAAGTAGCTTAGAAGTGCCTGTGCCTGCAATCAACAGAAGCTTATGACAATTTTCCACAAAGGTAAAAGAAAGGAGGTGATAAAAAAAAACAGCAGAAGCAATATACCTTCTCTTTAGCTCTCGCGGTGCCAGACTGGGACAAGGCCACTAGTGGTGGAACAGCTCCTTCTTGGAGCACCATACTGCAAAACCTACCACTGGTTGTGCAGAGCTGTAAAAGAGCAGCGGCAGCATTCTCCTTTCCTCTTGCTGAACCCAACTCAACAACCTCAACCAGCACGGGAATCCCACCCTCCAGCCCAATAGCAGTCCTCCCTTCAGGAATTGTAGCAAGATTTGCCAAAACAGCAACTGCCTTATCAACCATTCCAGCTGCTGGGTCCATCAACTCCACAAGGTGTCTTACAGCACCAGCTTGCACAATTCGGGCCTTGTTTTCATGAAAAATTGACAGATTAAACAAGGCTGTAGCTGCATCTTTCTTTCCCCTAGGAGTACCATTCCCCAATAAATCAACAAGAGGCTTGATTGCCCCAGACCTTCCAATCTTGACTTTGTTATCCTCAATAACTGAGAGGCTGAAGAGAGTGGCAGCTGAGTTTTCTTTAGCTTCAGGACTTCCTGTCTCAAGGACATGAATCAGAGGCTCAATTGCATTTGCATTAGCAATAGCTGTTTTGTTGTTATCATTTATTGACAAGTTAAGAAGTGCTGTAACAGCATTTTCCTGAGTCCTTGTATCAGGTGATCGAAGCAAATCAACTAACAAGCGAATGGCCCCACAGTTTGCTATTATAATCCGATTATCCATATTGTGCTTGGCAAGTAACCTGAGTTGACCTGTAGCCTCTCTTTGTGAATCAACTGAAGTGCTCTTCAAGTCCTCTACCAACTTCTTAACCGCGGTTTCAATGCCAGAAAGGTCAGTCCTGTTCTCAATGCCAGGAGAAGAAACTATCCTTGGAATAAATCTCTCTGATGGCCGGCGCCAGGTTGTTAGGCTTCGGGATCGTGCTTCCATCAATTGAGGAGGGAACTCAGGTTCTCTCTGTGGAATGGCTGAGCTAGCTGCAGGCTGTGGGTCAGATTTCACCTCTCCAGAAAGATCACTACTGTAGGCTGCAAGATTTGTTGACCCCTCAGAAGTCTCATAGGCATCTCCAACTGCTCCTAGAGGAAAATCTGAATTAGAAAGTGTACTAGAGGCTGAAGCAGATCTTGTATGGTTCTGAGATGTCTGTCCAGCATTATTAGAAGGTGACATTGGGGCCTGGGCAACTGAATTGCTACTCCTTTGTTCCAAGGTTGACCTGTCTTCGGCACAATTTATTGATATTCTTGCAACGTCCAGACCCTCTCCATTTCCAGTTACAACTGGCAAGGAATCCTCTGAGGTAGAATGAGGATGTAGAGAGGAGGTTCCCTCCCGATGACTTCCACTGGATGTGATTAGGTTCATGCCAGATTGACCTGTAGACCGTGACTCGGGTGACATTGGTTGGCTGATTCTAGAAAGTGGAAAACTAATTGAATCCCTAGGCAAGCTATACTCTGCTTGCATAAGAAGGGGATAGGGCTGGCTTAAACTCATGGACTTCATGGGATCAGGCAACTTCACATTGTTTGACTCACACCAGTTAGCAATTAGTGCCTTTACTGTGTAATTGGGTATAAGATTGGTATGAGCCAAAGTCTGCCGTGTCTTGGGGCACACGGTGAGCCCAAGATCAATCCATTTCTTGATGAAAGCCCGCTCATAGGTTTGTCCTGATGCCACAATCACTGGATCAGTCATTAGCTCTAGGGAAAGGGGGCAGCAGAAATCAGTAGGTATGGGAATCGGACTACAGGTCTGAGATTGTTTTATCAAGACAAGTTGATCATGCATGCGAGTTACAAGAGCAACCATTTGATCAATAAACTTAGCTTCTGCACTTTTTTCAGCTTGTTCAGCATTCTCCTTCAACTTTTCAAGGGCCACAGCCTCTATCAAAATCTCCTGGTTTGACCTCAAGCTCAGGCTCTCTGCAATTTTGACTAGTATTTCTGAGCTTGGTCCAACACTATCCCCTTGATCCCTTATGGTTTCCCTAATGACAGATGATGTTTGTTCATATCCTACATACTTAATTTTCTGCAAGCAGTGCTGCAATCAATCATGCCAATTGTTAGAATCCTTAAACATAGACTCCTATTTAGCATTCTCTAAACTCAGAAATCGAATCAAAAGGACAGCTCTTTATTTTCTCACATCTCAAAACTGTATAGGTTAGATGGCATCCACTCTCCAATAGATTACTGTTTGGTAACCATTGAAAAATACGATTATTATGCTCTATTTATAAACACAAAATCAAAAGTACAAGCTTCAAATCAAAGTAAAAGTTTCAATAACTTTGGGTCATATATTACCTCAAGAGATGCTGAACTCAATTCATCAGGCAGGTGCTGATGGGAAGACTTCAAGAACTCGAATATATCCAGGCTAGAATTTCGGATCTTCAATATTAACGATTCAGCTTGCAGAACCTAGATATTAAGTGAAAGAGAAGATGGTTATCCAAGTGTGTTTACAATAAAGGCCCACATTAATTGACTGATAGTTGCTTATAAGAAAATTATTCTTCTATAATATTATTTTCTGAAAAGGGCACCCATCTATAGCAATTTTCCATCTGAATATGAGCAAACATTCAAGAATCAGGGCTTAGGGGCTAAACTTATTCCAAAAGCATTCCTATTTACTACAAACATGACAAAGTTCTAATAACCATAAGAGATCGGAAGAAAAAGAGGACATAAATAGACCATATGGGCAGAACATAAGTCTGACAGGCTGTTGCACAACAATTAAGTGTAAAATAACAACAGTAATCTACATCAAGCATCTAAAAGAAAATATAATTGCTAACATGAGCACTTGATCAAAGCTTCACCAAATCAGGATATGCCAATGCCTAAAAGGTTAGCTTAGGTACTTCTTCCAGGCAGAAGCTAACCAAAATTGCCAAGCAAAGTTGTGAACTAAAAATATAACTTGTAACTTACAAAGTAGACTTTACTCAAAAGTGGTTGCCAGCTTTCAAATTGCTCTCTCAATTCCTTGATAGAGAGACCCAATCCTTCAAATGCCTTACCAAGCACTTCATCAGAAGTAATTTCTGAATCAACGACTACGTTAAGAATTGGCTTCAACAACTTTAGTATCTCTTCTGCCCTCTGGTAGTACTTCTGAACTGGTTCTGAGTTAATGTTCTCAAAAGATGACAAATTCAAAAAAGAGGAAATGTTACTAAGAAGTGCTTTTAACAAAGATATCTCCATATGACCTGGGTCAAAAACCGAAAAAAAAGTCAGAGACCACATGAAAGAAAGAGCACAGGGTGAAAAACTGAAAGAATAATAGGCAAACTAGGCACATTATACAAACCATAAAACATGCATATACTTTTTATTTCTCATTAATCAATTCATCAGGTTTAAAGTGTCACAAAAGATATAAAACAAATAAAGTCATATTATCACATTGAGATGACAAGATTTAGGCGAACATTTAATAAGGTATAAGGTTATAAAAACATTTTGGAACCATTTAATGGTTAGACCAATTCCAGCATGTCAATAACTTCAAAGTAATAATACCCTCTTAATGCTCATGATACCTTGCCCATAGCCCACATTATTTTAGAGTAGCCAAGTTTGTCTCTCAGTTATCGCTTTGTTTTTCATTCACTTGATATCATTCCAGAATTTCAAATATTTATATGTCAGATGTGTAGTGTTATCAAAAACCAAAAGAATACCCTACAAAAGGACCAGTTGTTTTCAATGTAATGCTCACCCTCCAGTACATTTATTTGTATACAGCAAAGGATATCATATGGATAGACTTAACAATTCAATGCTATGAACCAATAAAAGAAAATGCAAAGAGCCGTCTCAATATGTCATCATTGAGCATACCAGGAAAATAAAGAAAGGAAGAGTAGAGAAACTAAAGAAAAGGTCAAAGAAAATGATGCTCACTAAACCTCCAATACAAATCAGATACTGTTGATTCAAACATAAATTATGAAATGAAACAACTGGAGAAAGCTTTCAGCCTAATTACTTTGGTTCAACTATCTAATTCCTTTCTCAGCATTCAACTTAAGCTCGAGCTAAAGCAAAATCATCAATGAACCAGGACAATCACATATTCTGTCAACACCCCTATCATCACAGTTCTTTTGATGCAAAACTGATATAGGGACAAAATGCATAAATTCATTTGCAGAAGTTTTTTAAAAAAAATGGAAACAGGAACATCCAGATAAAGTAAGGACATAGTACAAACCTTTTCTCGTAAAATCTAACAGCAAAATTCTTTCTCAATCACCGATCCTTGGGAAACCATATTATTTCATAAAACTGATGAAAACCTTTTTGAACATCTGTATCATAGCCTATGTAGCTGCACTATCTTGATAAAAAGAACCACACAGATTCTTTGAAATCTCAACTTCACCAAGTAGCAATCCCTGTATAGAATGAAAAGTTTAAATCAAGATTTAATTAACTTAAAATATTAAGTTAAAGCAAAAAATAAATATAAGTACATTGAAACTTTAAATCTTCAATTATAATATTTACCACCAAAACACCCACCAAAATTACAGCAAAGTTTCCTTTCAAAGATTCTTATGCTGATAATCTTCCTAGCATCTATCAAAATGTAATTAAGGTAAACCTAAAAAAAAAAATAAAAAGCAGCCATCCGTCCACATTAAGCATAACATGATCCCCACCCACCACCAAGAAGAGAGTTGGCTGACTAATAACAAGCCAAATCCTTCTCTAAAGATTAGAGAAAATAACTTAAGGCTAAGGAATAATTGAAATTAGGTGACTGCTCCTTCAATGGAATTATCTTTACTCCAGTACTTTGTAAGCTTCGGCACTACGTGCAGCTCCTCTCTACTAAAGCCTTAGTTTCTGGGAAATTAACAGCTAATTATTTGGATGTATTTTAATATTTTGGTAATCATTTTAACTTTTATTAAAATTCAATGCAGATCAGATGTCAATGTATTTGTCTACCTTTTGGAATAGAAAAAGACACTATTGGAACAATAACAACCAGATAAGACTACTGAGAAGTAGAGCAATCCCATAGTAGATCATCAACCAAATGGTGATCTAAACCCGGTATTTGGATGCTTCAAATCAAGGATAAAAAGACATTAACAATAATTATAAAAAGAAACATAAAATGTCCCCACAATTTCGTTCAAATTCCATATGCTACTAGATGAAAACTGGCATGTTGGTACCATAAACATATAAATTTACTTAAATCATTACTTCCAAAATCTATCTCCAAATGGTTCTTATGCCGTTTATATGGCTTGCTTTGTATTTTACATACTTTCCAAGTAACCTAATGACAGCATAGTAAAATCAAAACTTAAATGATGTTTAAACCTTAATGATTTTAGCACACATAAATATTCTTGCCATGGTCATAAAAAAAAATATTCACCCTTTTGAAAGTACAACTTTAAGCTGTTTTTCGCACTTTCACGACAGCTAAACAAACTAATAACTAAAATTAACCCTAAAACCTCTTCAGTACTTAAAATCTCATTTATCCGAAAACCCACTTAGCGTTTCAAAATCGTAATTCAAACAACATGGTCATGCATAAAGTAATTAGATCAAATGGGTTTCCTTATTATCTCAAAAAGAACCAACTCCAAAGAAGTAATTAGTCAAAATATTCAGAAATGGCAAGGAAATAACAGCAGAGGAAATAAGATACACATCAAGATCTTTCAGCAATTTTAATGGGTCCATGATCTTTACAAGGAACACAGAAAGGGCGGCTTTAATTCTCTAAGTCGTTAACAAGAACCCATATGCATATATCAAAATTTTTAAAAAATACAGAGAGATTTCAAAGCCAAAAAAAAAAAAAGGAAAGAAAGAAAAAGAAGAAATTGTACCTGAATGCAGCTTTGAATTTTGGGTTTTTTGGTTTTTTTTCCTTTTTTGGTCTTTTTTCTAGTAGTCTCTGCCTTCGATTTGTTTTTTTGTTTTTTTTTTTCAATTTTTGGGGATTAAATAATGGGGTTAGTTAAATTTCTTATTTTATCGCTTGCGGAGGTTGATTAGTTGGAGAGCCGGACATTGTCGTCATTTTGGAATTTCTTTATGAATATTTTGACTGGAAATTTTGGGGTTTCTTTCAGCAGCAGCCAGAATCACTTGTAGGGATGTTTTTTTACGTTGGCCCGTTTATTTTGTTAAAAATGATTTTTAAAAAATAATTTTCGAAAAATATTTATATTTTTTAAGTTTGAAAGAGATTTTTTTATTATTTGAATAACTTGGTAAAAATATTTTTTATTATTTGGTTTTTTTGAAAATTTTATTTTTTAAATAATATTAATATAATTGTTAAAATATTAAAAATTATTTATTATTAAAATATATCAAAATTATTTATTATTAAAATTATTAATATTAAAAAATAACTATATTTTAATAATAATATTTGATACTAAAATATTATGTTAATATAAAAAATACCTAAAATAAAACTATTTATTATTCTTTATATTATTTAATAATATATTATAATATTATTTATTAAAATTAATATGTTAGTATAATTTTTTTTTAAATTCGTAAGATAATTTTTAAAATAATAATTATATTTTTTATTGATTAAAAAATTATTTTTTATTAACCAATAGTTTTATGTCAAATAAACACTTAAAAATATATAAATTATTTTTTATAAAAAAACCGGAGTCATATATTCAATAAATTTGATTGCCTATAATAAATAATTTTTAGAATAAAATTAAATCTTCAGCAAATTGTCTAAAACTTCAACTGCAGAAAATGCCTCAATTTCAGTTTTAAATGCGTTTGTTATTAAAATGTTAGACGAAATTGAACGAAATGTTTGAAAATAGATTTGGTCCTAACTAGTAAGGCATCCGTCGGTTTTGACCAAAAAAGTCATACATTTGTGTTCACAGCAACTTACGGAGAACAAAATCCACTTGAGCAATAAAATTGTCATTGAAATTTATATTTCCATAGATTTTTTGTTGTCATTGACTTGATTCATTTTGTACCAAAAGAAAGCAGCTTTTCGGATCCTGAAAATCTTACCTGGTTGGCTTCAAGCTTGGAAAAGAACACAACAATCAAGGTTGAGAGCTGAGGAGTCATCGGTTTGCTAACTTTCTTGTTTTTCCCTTTTGTCTTGGCTCAATACGCAGGTGCAACATGCTTGTTGAATTTTTTACCGTGGAAGAGGCCAACGCCCGACAGATTATTTACAATTTACAAACCACTAAAAGTAAATTCGATAATAGTTTTGTTAATCAAAACCTTTTTTACTGATTAATGAGCTTTTCTGATTCACTCTGCATGTTATAATATCATTCACATACAATTTTAGTTGAGGAATTCTTTTCTATACAAATGTTTACATCACTAAACTGTATTGATGCAGAACCTGTAGCTGAAATCTGTTCAAAAATTCTTCTTTCTGCATAATAACCAAGCCAAACATAGCTTTTAAGACTAAAGTGGCTAGAGTTCTTGCTCCGGATCAGCTGCATCAACAGGTTTATATGAATTGAGTGTTTGTTGTCTGCGTCTCCAGATAGCCCACACTCCCGAAACTGATAATCCAACGGTTATTACTTATGATAGTAACCAAAAGAACCACCAAATGAAGTATTGCCATCATGCTCTGTATCATTTCAGACGAACAAATCACGTTAGAGCTTCTACATGACTTGATATGTAATACTACCGTAGTTTTGAATATAGATTCACCAAGAGATATAGATAAGTTATAGACAAGGAGAGAAGTGAATAGAGGTTGGATCATGAATTAGTAGATTAGATGTTCTTTCTTATTTCGTTTTTGTTTATATACCTTGCATACATATACTGTAACATACTTTTTCTAGATACAATACAACTACCTTGTCAGTTCAACAATGTTGACTATTAGACTTTGCAGGATTTAGTTAAGAATAGGCCACGTTGATGAGTAGCAATTTTGTTTCAAAAAGAAAAAGATTTTTATTTTTCAACGACGTTACGATTAGAGAATAGGAACCCAAGGGAAAAAAAGGCAATTTAGGATGCAGATATCTCAGAGAATGTAGGATAGAACAGATCCATGCTACAAGCAGCAATGTGCTATGCAGAAGATCTAGACCCTCTAGAATTATGGTACGAGTTTTTATGTATGCACTGACTCATGCTATTAGAACCAATGAACGATGCAGAAATCTGGCCCCATTAAAATTATATTACAAGTTTTTACGTATGCACTGATAGGGACGCAGCATACAGAGAGGCCAAATGGAGAGGATATTCTGAAAATTTTAAAATTTAAAGGAAGCCCTAGTGGCATCAGATCCATATGTAAATTGACAGAATATTTTATAGATTATTCATCAAATTGTCAGCAGGAAGGTTCTTTTAAAATGGCATAAGACAGTAGCCCCCCAGGCTCCATACCATGCAAGAGAAAGAGAGAGAGAGAGAGATGCCAAACTAGAAGTAACAACCAGGCCATTAGGAAACAGAAACATACTGTTGCACAGAAGGCTCAACTTTCCGTTGCACCAACTGATAATTTCCAAAGGTATCAGGAAGCCTCATATGATGTTCAGCATGTCATACTCTGAAAGCAGAAATTCATCAAGCAAAAAGCTATAATCTGTATATCAAAAGAATTGCAATGATCTAAAAGAAGACTTACTGTTGCAGAGCAGTAACGTTAGAAATGTAGGTTGCTGAACCTGAAGGGACTATGGCCCATCTGACAAGAGAATCGTTTCCTTCAGATGTAAAATTCAATAAATGGACCTGAAATCATCCAAAAAATTTCACTAGCCCATAAAATAAAGATTACTTGAAAACCTAACCATAGACAGAAAAATCAACTGTTTAGTAAGATAGTTTAAAAGTTCCTTCAGGAATTAACATGTTATTTCGTATTAATGGTTCATAAATTACTGCTATCAAATGCTCCAGCATTCAAAGATAGTATTTGTTTAACCTGTGAAGCATTAACAATTAACTCCTTAGCAATGAACTCAGCAAGTTTGTTGATGTAAGGCTTTAGATATGAGTAGTTGATGCTCAATGACATATCCAATGTAATTTTACCAATCTGAACTTCCTCTGTTAATCAATAAGGAAATATCATCAGAAAGAATTCTGCTGAAAGACACGATAGATCCTGATTTTAGGGAAAATGAACAGTAACATGACCTTGTTTCTTGAAGATGGTATAGTACAAAAATAAAGCTCGGAAAGCATAATTGAAAAAGTATTGATCATTGATGATTTTCAATGAAATAAATGGCAGAACAGAGTTCTAGTCCTCTAATGGGTTCAAATAAAATAAGAACCATATAAGGTCCTGGGATAACCATGGCTTAATGTACCTGTAAGTGCATAACGTGGTGATCCATTAGGAAATGATGTAGGTGGCGACTCCACAGTTGAATTATCCTTCCCACTCGAAGATAAAGGAAATGGTGACTGTGCACCAGTTATTTGTAGCCTTTCCCGTAGCTCAGACAATTAGTCTTCCGGAAACCAATCTTCAAATGCTTGCAGTCATACGTACCAGAGTATTACGTACAATGATTCCTATAACAGACAAATGGTTAATTTTGAAAACAAGAAAGAAAATACCAAAATAACAGTCCCAGAACTTTCATGGTGTCAAACTAAAGCTTTGGATTTGAAAGTAGAGATATTTTGCCAAACTTTGTCAAAGAAGATGGTAGTTTAACAGGAACAACATCATAAAACACTAGTTATCTGAAGCTTAACATACCTCCCAGAAGGGTATTTGGGTCCTTTTCATTTTGGAAGATCCCAAGGCAATGTGCACCGAGCAACTTTGAATGCTTTATGAATATGAGATGTAAGATAAGCAGAAAACTCAATTGAACTCAAATGCAACTCTTCCTAAACCAACTTCAAGTATAACCTTAAGAAGGTTTCCTTGAGAAAAGAAGCTGTTCAATCAACAGAAAAGCAATTACAGTGTGAAAACTTACCCGACACAAGTACTTCTCTGGTGATAGCAATAATTTTTGCTTATTGCCAAATAACATTTCAACTGTTGCAGATATTTTTGAGAGTTCAGAGACATCACTGAAACAGAAAAACAAATTTTAATAGTTAATAGCACAGAAAAGATAACTAACAGTTTTCAAAATAAATAATGAAAATTTGTTCAACTTTTCTGTTATGGTACACAATATACAAAGATGCAAATATGAGATATAAGGGGGAAAGAACAGACACAATAAAAATGACAAGTTTTAAGTTTTGACAGTTAACAGGTCAACCTGTTAAGCATGCAGTCATCTCACGCCCTTATAATCACACATAAAATTCCAGTTGAATATGTGCAATTGTTAGAATAAAACTCCAATGATCCCCCATATTATAGCATTAATGATGAAGGGCAAAGTTTTAAGTCATTTAAACTCAACATATCACTCAGCCAGGGGACAAAGAGGGTCTAGTAAGAACACATTAAGAGGCCTAGCTAAAGCTTTAACAAACTATGATTCATTTATGGGAACTGAATCTTACAGCATCCTTAAATGCCGCAAATGCTGCTTCAGGTAGATACGTGTATATTGTACCATTGTCCAAAACAGTTCCATACTTTCCATCAAAGACACTTGGGTTCAAAGGTAGCTGCTTCTCGGCAACATGTATTTCCTTCAAATCAACGTTGTAATATGGACTGTTGCCATCCCGAAACTAGAGCAAATGTGTCAGATGTATCGATTGTAATTGTTAGGAAGTTGATGATGTATTCTATCTCTGAGATAAAATGTTTACATAAACATACCTGCAAACAGGATCCAAATAACTAAAGACCCTGTATGATGGGGCAGATATATCTCCAAGAACCATAGCGCCCCCACCAATATCCATCCCACCATAACATAATGAGAACATTAATCATACAGTTTTTAACAAGCTGGTCATCAATGCTGAGATCACCACAACCCAATCCCATAATGCCATCAATATGTTGATTTGACTGTAAGTCAACAGTCTCCTCATTTTCGCAACCAAAAACCGCACGCTGAGGTACAAGCTCACTTTGATTACCAAATGACATGTTATCCTCTCCAAGGACACCGCTACTGCTACTCATCTCAGCACACTGTCTCTCATAAATACATTGCACCCTGTCATTGTCACAATTGCAATCCGAATTGCACTTTACAGGTTGGTAAGTACTGGACAAATTGGGCTGAAACTTCAGATCCTGATAAAAAGAAATCAGAAAACCTTTAGCTTAACCACCTAAATAAGATTTTTCAGAATCAACATGATGAAAACCTTTCAATCAAAATTATTAAGGCTGCATTGCCACGTGCTTTTTGTTTCCTAAAAAATTGCTATAAAACAAATGTTAGTTCAAAAAACTTGAAATAAACCAAGAGGGGAGTGAATTGGTTGATAATAAAATTTTCAAAATCAATACCTAATAAGCACAAATTTTGCAAATCAATTTTTCTAAACAAATGAACACAACAAATATAAGTATACTAAAAATCTTAAAAACAAAAGATAGAGATAGAGAATTAAACACCAAGATTTATAGGGGTTCGGCCCTTCCTTTAAGCACTTATGTCCTCTCCCTTAGCCTCATTTGCCAAGGAGTTCAATCCATTATGTGTTGAAAGTTACAATGTAGCTCTTCAAAGCTCTATACAATCAACACCACAAACTCTTAGGGGTTATCCTCCCCCTTACGCTCACAATCTCACAAAACAAATTTTCTGAAGTGTTTTGTAAACTCAAAAAAACTCTCTAAGGTTGAGTGTTTGCTAACTTGAAGTACAAATCAATATTGAGAAGAAGATTAAGAGAAAAACTGATACAATGTGAAATTTCTGCACTTTTCTCTCTCAAACTGGTTTTAATACTTGAAGAAGATGGTAGATAGAAGCAATAAGTTCTCTTGGCTTTTCATTACTCTTCAATTGCAGTAGAAACCTTTATTTATACGTAGAAAGAAGGAGATAGCCGTTGGTTGCATTTAATGATTGGAGCCTCTGCAAAAAAAAATCCATTGCAAACATTCTAGGCAAGAGGGGATCGATCCCCTCTTAGGACGATCGATTGGGTCAGTAAAAAATAAAGCAATTTTACGCATGAAAAAGCACAACCAATTGATCTCTTTTTGCTACCAATCTATCTTTTCTTCAGGTGATCGATCTTTTAGTTTAGGTGACCGATCCCTTTTACAATCCTGGAGCAAAAAATTCATTCTGGGTAAAAAACCAATCGATCCCTTTTTGAGGGGATCCATACAACGAGAGAATTGATTGGTTTTCATGAAATTTGCATGAGTAAGCATTCTAGCAAAAAAATCAATCGATCCCCTTGAGAGGGGATCGATCCCTTCTATACTACTTTGCCAAATTTTATTTTTAAATCATGCCAAATGAATTTGAACATGTTCTTGACTGGATTAAAAGCTGAAAAAGGTATTCAAATTAAGTTCAAATCATTTTAGTTTAATTTTAACAAATTTTTATTTTATCATTTCAAAATATTTTATCAATTCAAGACTAACAACAAATAGAATGAAAGTAAATTCATACTTAACAAATATAAGCAGCTGACTAAAATGTAAAACTAATTCCAATTCCAAGGTATTATTATATATCTAAAAATTAAACCTTCCATGTTGCTATCAATATTCAAAGCTTTAATTTTTTTTACATTTAAATTTTTCAAAAATATCGCTTGCTTTTACATCTTAACATATTGTTTACTTTTGGCTCCCGAAAGCAGAAGCAACGACCAAATAAAGCCTAAAAGAAATCTCAAAGAGTAGAGTAATGCTTAAGAAATCAAAAAGCAGTTTTTCTAGTCAGATCTACTCTAATATACTTGGAATACAACGAATTTCCAAAAAAAAATAATAATAATAAACAGAAAATTTAAAAAGAAAATAAGCAGAAAAAAAATCATGAATGAAAATTCGAATGAGAAGAGGCATGGATGAATGAAATTTTAACACCACCTGATGTCTACCACATAGTTCGCAAGTGGCTAAAGGAACGTAAGTAACAGTAATTCCAGATCCACTATAAGCGCAAATCTCTGCGGAGGTGTCCCGATCCATAGCCGGGCAGTGTAATACCTTCGAAATTTTAATCCTTGAAAATCTCAGTTAAAGAAAAAGGAAAATATGATTTAAAGGAAAAAAAAAAACAATGATAACAATATAATGATATTGTACGTGTACCCGTTGAGAAGGAGATCGTCGTGGAGTCTCATGCGAGCGTTGGGATGGGAAGAGTGAGGGTCGGATCTCAGGAGGTGACGAGAAGAGCTCGAGAAGGTTCTAGAGGAATACTTGGGAGAAGGAAAGAGAGGGAGGATCATGGCGGAATGGGCGCCGTAGTAAGGCGGAGGGAAGACGAGTGGTGGTGACGTGGAGGGATTTGATTGGGAGAGAAGAAAGAGGAGGAAACGACGGTAGGGACGGCGACGGTTGGTGCAGAGTTCATTTCGGCTCGGGCTGACGCGAAGGGTTCGAAGGAAGCTCGAGAGAGAGTCAGCGGCAGAGTAACAGAAATGAACTTTGCACCGCACTGATGAAACAAATAAATGATTATAATAAAATAATTTCTACAAATAATTATTAATAAAATTTAAATTTAAAATTTTTACATTAAAAATACAAGTCTTAATCAATTAAATCAAGAGGTTTATTACTTACGAAATAAGCGTTTATTTCCTTATCAATGGGATCAACTTGAACAAACCAAATTGTTCATTCATTGATAATTCTAAAAAATGTAACTGATTTTAAGAATGTCCACTAACTTCTTTTAATCAGTGTTTAAGAATTTATTTTACAATAGTTTGTTTTTTAGTCGTCACTAAAAACATTAATGTTAAGGTACTAAACTTTCTCAGAAATATTCAGCAAAATAAATCAGGTGATCATTAAGGCCTATAAAGAATGCCATGAAACTTAGATAACAATGAAACAATGGCTTTAAACTTCTTAGCGGTGTCTTACATTCACCAGATGTGCACTAGTTTTTGCTATGAGGGCTAAATCATCCAGGAATCGGCAATCCAGAACTACATTTAAAATTAGCAGGCATGGAAAGTAAAGAAAAAGGAAACCTGAAAGTTCAATACAAAGAATGCCAAAATAGCAAATGCATCAGTAAAATTTATTGAATTATATGTTTGTTCAAAGCTGGTTCTCATATAGCCAGCTTGAACAAAATTTGAGATACATTATCGAAATTACATACTTTGGCTCCTTCAAATGTTTCAAAATAATGTTAATTGTTACAGCCTCACTCTCTCCAATCCTCTGTATACAGCAGGAAAGGATAAATACATCTTTAACAATAATACGGAACCTACAACCGTGTTGTTTGAAACAATACTCGAGAAGAAGTAAGCTACTAAAATGAACTTTTGTACAAACGCGAAAAGGAAATGCTTTAAACTGGGAATTCATCTGTGAAAATAGAGTAAACATTTCATGCTTCTGATCTTCTTGCGTTGAAAAGGGTGTCTAAGCTTAATCACTCAATTCCCTGTGTCTGTTTAAAGGGTAACAAACGGCGCCAAGCAGATAAAGTAAAACCTTGAGAAACAAGGTAAATTATAAATGCAAGATATGCTCCTGTAAACGCACTCACTATACTTGTGAACATTACACCACTGACTTCGGAGGAGAAGAAGTCAAGTAAAAGATACCCATTGATCACTATCACCAGTGCAGCCACAAGCCATGAAACTGTCTGCAACGGAGAGAGGGGAAAAAGTTTAGGAGGGAAAATGTAACAGCATAAACAAAAAAAGGCAGTCTAAAATTATAAAATGGAAGCCAAAAGTTAAACATCATTTTCCTTCTTAAAAGAAGTGAGGCAAATTTTTGATTTGATAGGAACTACGTGCAGGCAAGTAGACAGTCGATAACAGGAATCCCTAGAGCACAGAAGTTAAAATGCCCACTAATCCTCGTAGCTTAAATGTTGATATAGCAGTCATCTCAGTGAATCCTTTCCCATGTTTCCCTAATTTCTCAAGGAAGGCAGAGAGACAAAGAACCACAACTCTTCCAAATCTTACACATAAACTCATGGGAAGCTTGAAAATAGGGAAAATATGGTAAACTGATGCAGGATGAAGATCTTGATCGCCAGACATGTGGAACTTATAAACTAGCATAAATAAACAGTTTGCATAATGGCAAGTATAGAAAACAAGTTAAGATATATCTACAAAATTAAGGAGCCCCGTATAACAGTTCACATGGCCAATGTACTGAACCTAGAACTTCAAGAAGCAGTTTCTTTTTAGACAATAAAAGTTTTACAAAGTCCCCAGCTAAAAAGGAGGTTAGGAAGTTCTAACTACCATCATGACGCCACACCATTATCGATAAACTGACTCCACATTTTATCAATTAAACAGCAATGAGCTGTTCTGAATTAAGAGCTCATCATGATCTCTGGATCAGCAAGAACAAACTGCCACTGATCAAAGTTTACCAATAGAATAGCATAATTCATGACACGTTCAATGTAAGTACACAGACAAACTCACTTATGACAACACATGTACAAATTCATTCAAATCAAAATTTGACAGCAAAAGTAGAAAGTCAATCTTCTTAATGAATTTTAGGCGTCAGCTAGTGAAGTATACTAGAACTCTGGTAGGCAAGACAAGTTATTATATCAGCAAGGAGCAAAACAAGGAAATTTAGCAGCATACCTTGAGCACAGGGCCAATTTTGAAGGTACCCATGATTTGTTCCTTGGATACCAGATAAAGAAGTGGGATAAGAGCAAACGGGATCTGAATTGACTGAAGCACATTAAGCCATTCATTTAAGACATCTAGTGCTGCTTCAGAAGTATCAAAAACAAGAGCAACTATAATAGTAGGAATAATTGCACAACTCCTTGTGATTACTGCTCTTAACCATTTTTTCAACCTCAGGTTCAGGAAACCTCCCATGATGAACTGCCCAGCGTAAGTGCCAGTAATAGTGCTACTTTGTCCAGCTGCTAACAAACCAATTGCCCAGATATATAAAATTGGGAAATATCCACCTCCATATTTTTCTTCAAGATACTGGCCTGCATTCACAAGGCCAATACTACTGGCTAGTTCTGTACCATAAAATGCCTTGGCAAAGACAGTTGTAACAAAGAGATTGATTATAAAGGAAATTATTAGTGCAACAGTGGACTCTATTGAGTAATAATTGAGAGCTTCTTGCACCCGGCCTTTCTTGCTGTGATCAATTTCTCGTGATTGCACAAGAGCAGAGTGCAAGAATACATTGTGAGGCATAATAATGCAGCCCACAACTCCCACAGCCTGCTTGATGGTTTTGGAGCTGAGTTTTGGAACCAAAACACCTGCCAAAATGAAGCCATTTGATCATCGGTCAACTGCAATACAGTATGAAATATATTTCACCAAAAAAAAGGCTACAGCCTACAATCGGGGGGAGATTCCCACCAAGAAGAAGTTCGGTGCCACTGGGCTTTGTTTCACCAAACATCCAAGCAAATGAGACAGCCATAGTTGCAATAAGGACTGCAAAAAATGCTTCCAGCTTCCTCACTCCATAGTTTTCAAGAAACAAGAAGATAAAACTGTAACAAGGCAAACAAAGGAAGAACCAGTTGAGCATACTGCACTCTCTGATGCTCTGGCAAGCTACTTAGAAAATTTTAAGAAAATAAATGGAATTAAATAGTATTTGACAAAATCATAACATTGAAAATTTTCTCAGATAAATTGAGTTTCTTCATTACCCATAAAAGCTAGAAATTTGACATCCATGCCACCAAACTAAGTTAAAAAAAAAAAAAAAAAAAAAAACCAAAAATAACTCGGATGTATCCAGCCAAACAATCATGCATATTGCAAAGCCTATAGGCTACAGCTTTACCAATGAGTGTTTATTTTCACTAAATTAAAAAAAAAAAGCTACAGTTAATATTTCCTTTAAAAAACCAAAATGCTTGAAAATTCAGAGATAATATATGATTAAAAAAAAACTTTAACGCACACACCAAAAATCCCACAATAATACTAACAAAAATGAAAATAAAAAATCATCAAAATCAACAAGAATACTGACCAATCACAAGCTGTAATAACAACACCAGCCCACAAAGGCAAAACACCATTACTCAAAATCTTAATAGCAATAGCACTTCCAATCACTTCCTGGATATCAGCTCCAATCAACGCCACCTCTGCCATTACCCACAAAACCATCCTAGCCCAAGTCGGATACTCTTCTCTACAAAGCTCGGCCAAGTGCCTCCCCGTCGCCACACCAAGCCTAGCGGCCAGCAGCTGAACCAACAACCCTATAGCCGTAGCCCACATCAACAGCCACAGTAAAGAGTAACCAGCTATAGCTCCGGCTTGAAGATCCCCTTCTAAATTCCCAGGATCCAGAAACGCTATTGACATTAAAAACCCGGGTCCGATGAAAAGCCATAATTTTTTCCAGGAAAAAGGTGGGACACCCAGCGATCGTTCCTCGTCCTGTTCATTGATTCCGACGATATGGACTTTTTCACCGGACTCGTACGCGACATCCTGGTCGGAGTCCTCGTCGGATAGTAACGGAACCTGGTTGTTCTCCGGTGGCATGTTCGGGTGTGGTAGCGTCCAGGGAGGATTGCTTGTGCTTATGGTTTTAGCAAGGAAAGAAGGACGCTTGGCTAGAAGCAAAGAAACAGAACCAAAGAAAACTACCAGTCTTTCCAACTCTCTCGTTCCTTCCTGGCTTTTTTCATTTCCATTCGTTTTTATACTACTTATTTCGGGATATTTTAGAATTTGCCACGTGGAAAGATGCGATGGCATTTGGCGACGATTTTTTGCTGTTTGAGTGACTGTTGCTTTGTGCATTCTGTCCAACAGCGACAAAAGGAAAAGTATTAATGGCGTTTTCGTATTTTTATTACGATGAATATGGAATTAAAATATTAAAATAAATTTTATTTATATAGTATAAAATATTAAAATTAATATATTATATTATTTTATAAAAAATTATATATAATAATTTATATTGATATGAAATTATAAAATATATTTTTTATTTTATTAAATATATATAATTTTTATTAAAATTTTAAATTATATTATTTTTATATTTTATTTATATTTATATCATATTTTATCAAATTTATATAAAAGTTATATTAATGCTCCAAAAATTTCATTCTATGCCTGATATTCAAAACTTAAAAGTCAATTTTTATTACGTACACTCATGATCCGTGACTATTATTTTTCTCAAACATCCTCTGAGCCCTCACCTCTTAAACTTACTTCCTCTCGATTTTTATTAAATCAAAATAGAATAAATTAATTTTTTTCAAGAATCGACTCGATTGAATTCATCAGTTCGATTTTTTAATTTTTAATATTTAAAGATTTTATGTAATCTTTAATTTATTTACATATATTTAAAAATTATATAAAAATAAATTTAATTGAACTTGAATAATGACGGAATTTGATTATATAAATAAAAAAAGGAATAAAATTAAAGGATTCAACATTGGGATCAAAACAATGAAAAATCGATTTGAATTGGGTTTCAGCTATTTCAATTTTTTACAACTCTTGTTAAGGAATAAGATTAAGTGGATATTTGAATTTCATCACATTTTTAATGTAATATAAATGAATTCATTAATTATTAATTAAATTTAAATATCAATTTTAATAAAATATATTTAATATAAATTATTTTATAAAATTTTCAATTATAATTACAATAAACTTTTTTAATCATAATTATAATAATAATAATTATTATTTTTAATCTCATCAAAATTAATTTTATTATCCATTCAAATATATTTTTAAAATGTGTTACTTTTTGTTTTTTTAAGGGAGGGATGCTTTTTTTTCTTTTTCTTTTTTCAATTACATCCCTATGGACCCACAATAAGGTTTCAGTATAAAGAGGAAAGTGGAATTTTCCGGTTTTCCAATCTTATCTGATGATAGAAAAATTCAATGACGCAAAACAACGTGGCATTAATTATGAGGGATCGGCGACGGGAGCAAGAGGAAAGCGCGACGAAGAACGATTCAAAAAGTTGCCAAGTGTGAGGGGACGATGGGCAAGCGTGCGTTTTGGCCGTGGATGGCTTGTGGTAGCACAATCTTTCGTGTTGCCTATTGGCAACATATTTTAATTCCAATTTTCGACACTATTGATCAACTTTTTATGGTAAGGGATGACAAAAGCAACCACAATGCTTGGACGTGAAGGACACGCTCTCTGATTTGAATATGATTAAGCTTTTTCTTTACATCGTGATTTCAAACGTTGGCTTAAGGGTCCATTTATGACGTAGTGTATAATCCATTCTCCTAAAAATCTAATGGGACCTTAATTTTGTTTTAAAATAAAAGTTTAAAAGGAAAGGGATGAGGGTGGTCCAAATGATCAGCTAACGAGAAACGATGCCAATGGCCGGTGAGTGGTACTGGTGACCATCCTTGGTGCTTGTCCGTATCATTCCCCGTCACTTGTTTTCGGATTTAGCCACAGTAAAAACAGATTGCTAAATCGTTTTCAAACAATGGAGCTTGCTGCTTGCAACATCTTTTTGTGCAGCAGTGGTGCCATTTCGTCTGCATTAATGGTCCATTTCGTGGGGCTACCAGCCATGAAAAGGAATATTATCTGTGTCTTATTCGTTTTCCATGCTGTTTCATTGCTTGCCAATTACTTGAGAGCAATATCTTCTGTAATAACTTTACATATCTTCTCGAATAGAATAACTTTAAAACCTGACAGTAATTCTCAAGAGAAATGAAGTAATATCTTTTATCTCTACTTTGCCATGGATGCAGGAAAAAAAAAAGAAAGAGAAGAATTAATGGTGCTATGGAGCAAAAAGTTTTCTGACTTTGCCAATGACTCTTCTGCAAACTGGGCAGACCCTATTTTCCCCATCGTAAATCCTGCAAAACATAAACATCATAATTAGATTTCTGTAGCCATTTACTAAAGAAAATGGGAAAAAAAAAATTCACTTGTTTTAACAGCTGTACCTTTGAGCACAGTCATAGCAGGTAGCACAATGGCCACAAGGAACAAAGAAACAATTCCTTTGCTCATCATAGCAAATTACACAAATCCTTCCATCATATAAATCCTCACCACTGCTGCAACTTCCTGTTTCTTCGTCTTCTTCACATGTTCCATATGCTAGTGGTATATCCTTTTCCGAGAATAAAGGGATAGTCTCAGATTCAGTTACTGCTCTCACATCTTCATGAACTCCACTATTCTCATCACTGAAGCCCGTCACATACTTCAAAATTATCAATATTATTAACACCATCAAGGCTGCAGAAATGTTCAAGCATCTAATAAGAATATGTGAGATTGGAGGAAAATTTTTGGGTTATTTTTAATCCATGAAAAGTAGTGATTTTCTCACCTAAAACTGCAACATAAGCCACCAAACGTGCAAAGAAATTAAAGGCGTAACACCATTCAGCTAGATCATTCTGTACCATTAAGTCAAAACAACATTGGTGATTACAATAGAAAGGAATGCAATTTTCATTGTTTTGTTAGTTGAAGATATAACTAATTGGCAGGAAACTGGAGACCAGGCCTCACCTCACTTGATAAAGGGACGGATTGAGAGTTGTCAAGGTTGAGTTTTAGTTGATGCATTGCATTTAATATCAAGCACATGTCCTTTGTTCTCTTTCCTACACCTTACTTCAAAATAGAGGTTTACAGCCATTATGATTCTTTGATACTTGAAGCAAAACCACAGGAAGGATCTAAAGCTATTCATGTCATTTTCATAGAATTCAAAAGGTCAAATTGTCTCTTGAGCATGAAATGTGTATGCTGCGGATTGCTCAATGAATCATAAAGAAAAAAACCAAAGTGGTCAAAAAGTGTGAGCCGATACTTTCACTGTGTAACAAGATTTGCTCAAACAGTAGCAGTATTATAGAAGAATGAACAATAACCAGGATTATAACGTGTAGAATTGAAAATTCAAGAAAAAATGTTCCTACATTACCTCAAAACAACTTAGAACAAGCCCAGCTCCAGCTTCTTTGAGATTGATCAAGAACTGGTGCATCTCAAAATACTTTCACAATTTTACCAGAGGCTAAAAAATGAGGCCAGATGACTCTGTTTGAGACAAGAGAGAGAGAGAGAGAGAGAACATAATTTTAATGCAAAAAGGTGAAGAACCGGGAAAAATTAGTAAAAATCACCACCTGCATTTTTCTATTAAAGCAGAAAGAGGAGCTGAACTGAACTGAACTGAAGCCTCAGGTTCATCCTATCTCTTTGAAGGGGTTGGAAATTAGAAAGCGGGCGTTGGCATTGCTATCCTGGAAGAAGAATGGAGACGATGGCCGTAGCATAACTGATAGACAGCAAAAATTAAATGGAGTGTGGTAGTTGTTCAAATTCAAATCCTGCTTGGGGCACAACTAACACCTCTGACTGCTATAGCAGGTAAATGTGATGCCAAGTCTTTGTGAATTGAATGGTAGGTTGCAACTTGTACACAATTTAAATGGCAGAGGTAAGACTGACTGTAAAAATCTTATTTGACCCTGTGTTTTATTCTATTGATGTTCATGGACAACTTATTCCATCATCATTTTATTAATTATGAGTTAGAAGGGCTTTCTTGTTACCAAAATTTTGGAAAAATGCTTAGCAAAACTCATGAATTTAGTTCGAAAACGTTAAGCCAGGAGTAAAATTTTTCTTGGTTCAATCAAATATTGCTATTTTAAATGCAATCAAAGGACCTATAAAAAGTTTTTCTGACTTAATTATTGAAAAGCAATGGAAAGTGGAAGTTTGTTTAATTTCTTAGGTCTAACAAAAATGTTAGATGAGAGGTGATGACATGATTAGGTGTGTGAATTGAGAGGAATATCTAAATTCAATAACAAAAGATCAAAATAGAAGTATGGTATACAAAGTTCAACTTTCATGATTGTGACTTGATTAAGACATGGTCTTTGGGCTTTTATTTGCAATTTTTGTTTAAAGTTGTATATGTTAATTTAAAATATAGGAAGTGATACGATATAAATATAATATAAATAAAAAATAAAAAATAATATATTTAAATTTAATAAAATTAAAAAAATTTATATGAATTATAATACATAATTTTTATATAAAATATGATATAATTATATAAATTTTAATATTTTAAATCATCAAATTTATTCAAAGTAATCCTAGACACCCTGCTTGTTTGCTGAACATACCTTGTGTTGACCCATTTTGCTCCTGCTATTCAGCATAGAGTACAAGGGGGGAAAGTTCAGTTTCCATTGACAATTAAGAGGGGCGGGCTTTTGGGTTTGTTTTGCCCAAATAGAAGGCCGATCCCTTTAATGGTTTGTATTGGGCCACAACTGATATATAAAAATACTAATGATAGACCCAAGTAGAAACAACCTAACCAATTCAAGCCCACCCATCTGAATGACAAACTTGGATTGGACAAGGCTTACATAAAGCCGAAGAACTGAAACCATATCTTCGTTTCCAACCACTCATTAAATATATCTTGCATCCTTCCAAACAAATGACTAGAACAAAAGAAATCTAGTCAGTCATCAGAACAAATTATATCCAATAAAAAATTGAAGGGATTGACAAAGGAATACAAGCACGTGCACTAAAATCCATGCGGAAAATGCTTGAAACAAATAGACGAGATTTACACGTTTGACATCATTAAATGATAGTAGTTGTTCATGGTAGACGAGACAAACTTGGATTGGACAAGGTTAGCATCTTAATGTCTCTTTCTATCTTTATGAAAAAGGAAGAAGAGACAGATCTAAGAAACGATAGGAAGTGGGACAAACAAACATGAAATAGACAAGAACCAAAAATTACATCATGCGTGCACAAAGATTATATGAACTTGACTTATTACACAGACATACAGATTCGACAGAAGGAGACCACTGTTACTTGTCTAAATTTATTTTTTCCTATGGGGAAAAAGATGCTGCTGGTTTTTGGCTGGGCAGCTTATTTCTGTAACATTTATTATTTCGGCAACACTATGCAGCGTTGCTCAGCGACGACGTTCAGGGGTCCAGTGTGGTAAAGCTGGACTGAAATGTTTTGAAACCACCCTTGAGTCGAGGAGGTCCATGATTGGAGTGAAGCTGACACATCTTGGAACTTTGTACTGATTTATGGAGGCCCCTCTTGAAATTGCATAGTCCATTAACTCCTCAAATGTGCCGTTTTTCACTACTCTTATCTCGAGTGGACCGATTGAGTTGTCTGCAACTCGGCTTTGACGGTAGACTGAGTTCAATGATTCCTCCATTTGCAAGCAGCATTGGCTCAAAACATCGTCCGTTGGGGCATTAGCTGAGTCTTTGACTAGTAATTCCCAGTAAATAACGTAGTGACCTGGTATTTGTTTGGTGTCCGCGTAGCTTGTGTACTCAGCAACGCTGGTGTTGAATTCCTTTAGCAAGGCAGAAGCGTTTTGAATGGCCTTTTGCAACTCAGCTTCATCAGTTTTGTCTGACTCGATGCTCAACAACACGTTCTTTCTCCTAATGAAACGAAATTGTGGAGCTGCGTTGTGAAAACCGGTGACTCGAAGGATATCACCGACTCTGTAACGACACAACCCCGCATAAGTAGTGATGATAAGCTCATATTCTTTGCCAACTTCTACATCAGCGAGATCAACAAGGCGTGGCGGTGAGTCACGAGAGAGACCCGAAGTTGATGATTCATGATGCAAGAACTCAAAGTAAGCCATGTTTGGCATGATAGTGTATGAGACTTCGGATGGTTTGCACATTGGCTTGAGGTTAAGACCAAAATAACACTCTGACGAAGCATACATAGTGCAAGCCATTGGCAAGCCACCACTATAATATTCAAGGGTGGGGATATATTGAGCCATGGCTCCTGTTACGATCACTTCAAGGTACTTTGTGTTGGGCCAAATTCTAGTGATGATACATTCCCAATTCTCCTCCGAGCATTCCTTGGTAATGAACTCAGCAAGTTCTGGGTTAGGTTTCAAGATTTTGCTCATACATTCTCGTATTGAAGCATCCGTTACTTTAGGGTTTAAGGTTCCCGCTGTGATGTCATGAGCAAGTTGTTTCCAGTTGATTTGAAGGAAATGAATGGCCCTGAGTAGGCCAGAGGCGAACACGGCACCAACACGAAGGACCTCTTCCCTCATGATCAAGCCACAGAGCATCTGTGTATACATGCTCTGGAAAGAGTCAGCGCAAAGAATGGCTTCGTTAGGGCTAGTGTAAACATTGAAAGGGTCATATGGCCTGGTCTTAAAGTGGTCGCTTTTGTAGTAGCTTGTGAGAACAGGGCGTGCCACAAGGCCTCCAGGTGTCATTGTTTCAGCTTTCACAAACAAGAAATAAAGTCCCTTCCCTTTGTCTAATCCCGGAACGTAACTATCACCACCAAAAGGTAAAAACATCAAACTTTGTTTTCAACAAAAATATCAAACATGCATGTAAAAAGCCATAGAAAAAAGAAAAGAGAAGTACAAAATATACTCACAGGTTCATTACAGGCATAAGAAGGCTATACAAGAGTTGGCGACGATCCAACTCTTCGTGAATTGTTGGCATGAGCTTCCTTTCTCCAGCAGAAGTCCCAGAACTGCAAATTAAGCCAAATAGAAAAAAAAAAAAGTCCACATCATACACAAATAAATACGAGTAAAGAAAAAAATATAACGAACCATTAGTTATTGCTAAAATTCTTACCTAGTGAGAAACTCTGAAATTGGTTGAGCAGATAAGATAGGGGACTGATCACCATTGACGAGACGTTGGATCTCAGGCTGCAGATCCTCATAAGTGATAACAGGGATTTTAGATTTGAATGTTTCCCGGTCCGTAGCTCCATTGAGCTGGAACCGTTTGAGATATTCAGTCTCGGCATTTCGGCTCAGGATCTCATCTAAAACCCTTTCTTGAACAGAATCAACATTTTTTGTCATCTCTTCAATGAATTGAAGAGCTTTGGCATCTTTGTCACAAGCAGGAGCGCCAAGTGGAGAGGGGAGAGCTGAATCAACAGCCATGACGATCAATATTGGAAGGGAAAGCAAATACGTAAACTATCAGAAATACAAGTAATTTTTAGTAAAGCAAAACCGATTGCTATGGTGTGAGAGAAGCTCAAGGATTGGGTTGCTTATATAGGGGAGCCGAGCAATGAACATTTTGGTGTTCCACGTAAATAGCTGGTCTAAACTAGGGCAGAAGGGATTGTACATTTTTGGAGGGAAGTAAACGGAATGTCCCCTAAGTGTAGCTTGGAAAGGAGACGTGTGAGCCCCATGACACGAAATACTGGTTACAAAAACCCCGACATGCGGGTCCTACGTTTAGTGCCATGTCAGCTTGAGGGTGGTTTTTGTCTAGGCCTAGGCGTCAGCCGGACCACGCGGCTCATTTCTGGTTCATCGTTGGGTCGCTGATGGCGACCCTTGCTGGTTCTTCCAAGGGTAGAGACGACCCAATGCCTAAAGTTCAAGACTTCAAATGTTGCTTATGAGGGAGAAGCTAACAACTACTACTAGCTACGACTTTGATTAATCATACCTTTAATTAATATTTAATTATTAATTAACTTAATTACCATATATTAAAATGTAAAAGAATGAACAAATCAAATTGGAATTATTTAAATTTAAAAATTGTCAACAGAAGAAAAAAAATTTAATATTAAGAACGTCGATGCAGCAAGCAATCACGTGGAATTGACTGAAAGGATTTCTTTTATTTGCTTTTTGTTTTAAACTTTTTTTTTTTAAAGGAAGATTTGGTTATAATTTGTGTTTTGCACTTGCTATCGATGTCATGAAGTTCACAAATAACACTTTGACATGATGAGGGTAGCTGAGGGATTTTTCGCATTTGATTTTAAACCATGCATGGCCGATGAATTACAAATGGATTGTGTTCTCCACCATCTTTTGAAAAAGATGGTAATGGTCATATGGGTTAATAATTTATATATAATAAATATATATTTTTTAATTTTACAAATTATAATATGTAAATTTAAGAATTTAATTATCAAATATAAAATAATAAAATCATCATTAATCATTTTTATTATGTGCGATTGAATATCTAAATGAATTTATTCTAAATTCAAATAAAACTTTTTAAAATAACAAGTGCTGATCTATTTAACATAATTAGATTTATGAATATGATTATATGTAAGAAAAGTATTAATATCTTACAATGTTTAGATGAATTGATATCAATTAATTTTATATTGTACTAAACAGTTTTGGTTAAGATGGTCTTTTTATTTATTTTTAATTTTATTATTTAAAGTGTTGAAAAAAAATTTAGACTTTTGTAGTTATTTTGATAGAATTTTTAAAAATTTATTCTTACTTAAAAAAATTCAAGAATTCTGTTATTTTTTTTTTCAAAGAGATTTCATTGTTGGTTTGGTTAAAATTTTTATGAAAAAGGTTATTTTCTTTTTTAAATTTTTTTATTGTTTCATCTATTTTTATATTTATATTGAAAATTTATTTAAAATTTTACCATTTTAAAAATATTTAAAAATATTTTCTCATAAATTTTTTAATTAAAAAAAATAGAAATTATTATTATTATTAAAATTTTTATCTAAATTTTTTACAAAATACATTTAAAAATAAAAAAGAACTTACCACCAAAGTTAGCCATTATTGGCTTATAGATTAACACTGGAGTCAATCTTCTTTACTTCTTTATTTCAAACGGCTGAATAAATCTAAACCCCAAAATCACTTCTGCCACCATAAAAAAGTGCCCCTCCGCTGTCGTTTCAACAACCGAGAAGCCACCACAAAGCTTCCTCTCACTCTACCCAACCCTAAACACCAAAAGAATTCCCTAAACTACAAAGAACCGAAACCCTCAAAACCCTTTTTCCTGTCTGTTTTGCTATCGGATTTATTGTGGAAATTCTTTGTGTCCTCTCTCTGTGTTCTTTAGGCTGTTTATATATGGATTTTAGGTGCAGAAATTTTAGGTTTTCATTGAATAGCGATATTGGATCTGCTTGGCAGATTAGATTCTCGTTTAATCACTTCCTTTGTTTGATTTTGTCTTTTGTGATTGTGATTTCTTTCTGATTTTTTGCAAATTGTGATTGATTTTGATTTCCTTCAAACTTTCCCTTTTTTCGATTTGCATCTTCTTTGGTTTCCTTATTTCTTCAAGATTTTTTATTCAGCATTCCAAAATTTGCAAAAAAATTAACCCGATTTCCAAACTCACCGCTTCCAAAATTTTCGACCTTTATTATTTTTTTTCTGATTTTTTCATTTTCAATTTTTTCTTTTTTCTTTTCCTGTTTTAGATTTTTTTTTTCAGATCTAAAACAAACTAAATAAAAAGGAAATCTATTAAAATTTGGGTTAGTATTTTTCACACGTAAAGTCCAATCATGAATTTGGGCTCAAAACCCAAACACAATTAACCATTCTTAAGCTCAATTGTCCAAAATGAATTTAGCAATAAATCTCGGGATAAAGTTAAATTTCAAATTGATACTATTGCCTAATTGATGATTCTGATTGAAGTGTATTCGGATAAAATTAAATATTTACATTACAAATGAAATTAAAATATTTATACATATTTATTTTTTATTAAATTTTTTATTTTTAAATACACCATAAGGGATATGTATCATTTTATAGTAAATGAAATAATTTAAAATTTTCATCAATGAAATAATTTTTTTTTAATTTATTTGATTATAAGGAGGTATAAGTAAGTTACTTTATTTTGCATGACAATTGCCAGGCCTTAACCTAATACATCATTTGGGAACAAAACCCTAAATTTGTTCTTACTAGATCCTTAACCAATATATTAATATATTCTCATATGATGTATGCTTTTATGTTTCAAATTTCGTTCTTAAATGAATTAAACCGTATTAGAAGAATGACATTCTTAATTCTTTACAAATTTCCTATTTTCTTTTTGACAGTTTTCAATACAAATATTAATAAACTTCTTTTTTTTTTTCCATCCAATATTCAAATCGATCTGTCATATCTCGAATTAGAGATCGACCCTTTTTGTTTAGATATAATGTTCAATTATATATGGATTGGAGGCCAATTATGGCCTCAGCAAAAATCAAGACCTAACAAATTATTTTATTTCTTAAATTTTTTCTTCATAAATCTAAAGTTATAATGTAAAAAGACTGTAATATTATAATTAACTGATCAATTAATTGTAACAAGTGTTACAGATTGTGAAATGATCAAGCAATTATTGAATACCATAAAGATCAATGTCCTTTCAACTTTACAACGGAAAAGAATAGTTTTTTGAGATTTTTCTAAAGGTGACTGTTGAAATAGTTTTGGATTTGGTGAGATTAAAGCTTGTTGAAAGCTAAGTTGATGAGTTTGCCAGACTTGACATTCCAGTTTCCAAGATTCCTTATCAGTAGGGAGCAAAGGATAAGGCGTCAGCCATGACATTCACAAAATTTAATACATATGTTTTTTAATTTTTATTTTTCATGGCAAATTTGTGAATATTAGATAGAGATATAGTAGCCCTATAGCTATACAATCACTGGACAAAAAAAAAAAAAAACAGTAATTTCTAATAGATCCTATTGTCCTTTGCTATACAGCAGCCCTTGTGTAGAGCAGCGGCAAACCCTACCCTACAATTGACAATAAAGAAGAAACTGTTACTTCACGTGCTATGAAAAATAAAGAATATTTTATATCCAATTTAGAATAATATGGACAGTGATTAATTTCATCAATTTTATAAAATTACAAAATTGAGTAATGACAATATGCCCCCAAAATGCAATATATAATTTAAGTAGAAAAGTATTAGGAGAAAATTTTAACTATGAAAATATTTTTTTCATCATATAACGTATTAAAATTTTAAATTAAATCTTAATTATTCATCATGAAAACGTATTAAGCTTATTCGAGAAGTAAGCCCTAAAAGTCTTACAAAGATTATTTAAATTAATAATAATAATTATAACTTGTAATTTTTCGTAAGCAAACTATCTTCTTGATGTATAACTCCATCATGGGATTTATTTTATCATATACAAAGGAACATATTTTATGGACATTGACTTCCCAAATACTACTTACCCAAAGTAAAGATCGACGACACTTAAAATGTATAATCTTTTAATGTAATTTATATTTTATATGATTGTGACCCTTTCTTTATCTTAGTCTAAACTTTGAGGGGAAATCAAAGTTTTGGGTTTACAAGAATTGTATGAATTTTTCCATCATAATACCCACTTTGGCCAAACTCCTGTTTCCGAGTCTTACTACATAAAACTAACTTACCCCCACAACTTTGATTTTTCACGCAATTGACTTTTACTTTCTTTCATTGCTGTCGAGGGAACATGGTTAAGTAGTTTAAGTAAAATTCGATTCGATTCAATTATATATTATATCTTTAACGAAGCAAAAAATAAAAATTCTTCATAAAACCAGACAGCATTATAGAAGAAATTTAAGAAAATAAATGCTAATTAAACATATGGGGATGTTAATTATCATGTCAAAAGCTAATATCTTTGAAGCAAATGAACGGAAAATCTTTAATTAGTAGTTCAAACCCTGAAAAAAGTACTAGAATTTTGAGTTTAACCACTAGTGAATCAAAGGATAATAAAACAAGAAGTCATTACCAAATGACCATAAAATGTCCACTTACCAAATGATCAATGCAATCATAAGTATTTTTTCTATTGTATTTGAGATAATCATGATCTTAATCATAATCACTGAAATTAAAAATACAATATTCTATCAAATCATGAGATTGTTGGCATAAGTACCCTTATCATAAAAAAAAAAAAAGAAATTAAAATTTAAAAGTAAAAAAAGAAACTGTTGAAGATCAATATTGTTGTAACATCCAAAATCAATTTGTAGACCCAAACTTGGCAAATAGAGTTGAAAACACAACTCCTTTGGTCCCTCCATGTTTCTTCTTTGCCTCTTCCCAAAGTCTCACTTTTAAGTTTTGTTCTGTAGCTATTACCATTGTGCATGTTTTGATTGTGATGATGTTGCAAAGTTGAGGATGATCTTCTTCGCAACCATGTCATTCAATTAATTATGCACGCATGGGTGGATCGTTCACCCAAATTTCAGTCTTTTAGAAATGATTGAAATGTCTTGCAAAATTTTAAGCAAATCTTATCTTACATGAATATATAAAAATAAAAAAATTTAGTGAAAAAAAATTTAATGTAAATAATATATTCTTTGAGTTTATATTTCTATAGTCTTAAGTAATTAAATGATATGTATCATGCATTAATTAATGACTTTGATTTGATTTAAATTTAATATTAATTACATATTGTGGTTAACAATTATTTGCAATTACTCTGAAATATCTGCTATATATATATATAATATGTTATGGGAAATTTCACTTTAAGTGACAAAATTTTTTAAGCTAATTTATATGGATGTTGTAAAATATATATTTTTTGCAACATAAATAGTATTATGTTGCAAAAGATTAGTACAAG